GTTCATTCATTCATCAATCGCAGTCATTACCGATAATTATAATTATACAGTACGCGTAATTAATAATGGCATTATACTTTTGTACACTTAATAGAAATTAATTTTAAATAGGTTCAAAGTCTAAAATATTACTAAGAATAATGTAAAATAACTTGATTAAATACATAAGAAAATACGGCTTGCTAACAGGTGGTTTCTATCGTCTTTCGACTATTTGAAAGAGTTCGCATTAATGTCTATATCACACAAAGCTTTATACTATTACCAAATCTGTGCATAGATGTACAAGCAATTACATTCGATTTATGGTTATTATAGGGCAGCGTATCGATAATGGTAAGTACCTATCTATGCCCATTTTATGTTCGTATTTTTAAAATATCGAAGATTGAAAAACTGATTATGCTCCAAATATTAGATGTATTAAAAACTATTTGTTATTAATTATATGTCATATCTTGATCTCTAACCGTCTGAAAGAGATATTATTACCAAATTCACTAGAAATTAATAATTACTGATTCATTTTGATATTTTAGAACATGTAGTACATAAAATTTCTTTCAATATCATCATCATCCTACTCTTGAGCAATAACATTTGCAGTCTATCAATAAGAGTAATGCAATTAATGTGCCAGTATATCTAGTATCAAATTCTTCCTTCTATTTCTTAAGCTAAATACTGCACAACGCCATAAATGACGTAGTCTCCTTATTATCTCGTATGATGGCATTGCTTATGGAATCAACTTGTGCAACCATATGCTACCTTGAAGACACTAGTCAAATTTTGCAAAGCTATAAGCTCAATTAATTCATAATTGATAACAAACATATGGTTTACCTGAATATCGTTTCCTAAAATAAGTTTAAACTATCAGTAGACGGTTAAAGAGTGAATTTAAATCGATTTTATCATTTCAATCAATATTAGTCTGTAGGTCAAAGTTGAAATGAAGTAGAACGGTACCTACTCTCTCGTGGTACTACAGTTTGTCCACACTTACTTCATGATCTATTTGATTCCATTTCAATAACTACGATCTTGGAAAGTTCCTGCAATTTATTACTTCAATGGCAATTGATCCAGCTCTAACTCATGGTATATTTTAGTGGATAAAAATAAACTACTGATTTATTGAATGTGATAAAACTTTACTGCTAAATAATAAAATCATTGACGGTCTTAATTTGATAGATGTCAAGAATTAATCCTCAACATCCAACTTCATTCCCAACAGACTACGTTAGAAGAGTATCAAGTAAGATCAAATAATTAAGCTTATTTGAGTATTTATTTTGTTGAGCAAATCCAGTATGAAATTCGAGAAAATACGTACCAATACCTTTTTACTTTAAAATGATCGTCAGTATTGTACTTATATTAAATTTAAAAACTTCATGGCGTTTCTATTGAACAACAAAGTACGGTAATTCCTGAGATCACAATTTCAGTCTATCTTGTTAAGGTATAAATCCTTCTTATGATATTGATAAGAGTACGAATTAGTTTCGGTGTGATTTACCAATTACTTTAAACGATTAGTGATGATAATTTACGGTAGTTTTACGTGATAAGAAATTTTAAGACTCAAATATTATTATTGATGTAAGGTACGTGTAATATTCTTATTTGAATGAGTACTTTAGCTAAATCAAAAGATTTAATCAATTCTTATTACAGAGTATTGAATCTTTATCGATGCTATAATTACTCTAAGCATAATAACATTACGTTAAGTTATCACGATAAAATTATATTCATTGATACTAATTACTATATGAATTTGATTATTTTCACACTCTATGCTTTCCACCCCAGTTATAATATACTGAGATCACAATGCTATCATAATGAATCACTCCTTACTAAGTCAGCAATCATAAGACTGGCTTATTAAAGTAGAATGATTATAGAATGTAATCCAGGGATAATGATTTTGAGGGGACCATGTCAAAACTGTTATCTATCCATTTATGAAAGGCATTTTAAAATGCACCGTATCATAAAATAAGAAATGTTTACAAAAGGTAGCCATCATGGTTTCGAAATCTTCATAGGATATTATGACTACCTGAACTTTGATGAAACGAGTCTTCCAAGGTTATATTACATTGTGCAAATGTTGTATCCCATTGTTGAGGATAGAATGTTTCAGGAACACCTTTAGCTGTCTCAAAAAAAAAATTAAGAATACAGTACTCTCTTTCTAATCCTTGGACTTCAATGATTAAACAAGCATCTCCTATTCTTAATGATAGAATTTTCACACACACCTTTAGTTGTCTTAAAAAATTACGAATATAGCAATTTCCTTCTAATCCTTGCACTTCAAATAATTAACGTTAATAACGTAATCAAATCACAACTGTATAAGACAGAAAAATCATTTACTTTCTGATATGGCAACTATTGCATAACTTGCTTGTGAAGATTATTTAAAGCATTTCGTTAATCTTTGCACGGACAGTATAACGGTCAAATAATATTGAGTTTATGAACTATATAAATAACGTAACCTAATCACTACCGCATATGATAAAAAGCCATTGATTGCCAGATAGAGCAACTGTTGTACGACTTACTTGCGAAGTTAACTTAAAACAATTCGTTAAAAATATCGATAATATTATAAGTATGAGTTCATAAAAATATTTTCTTTAAACGTAGATCATACGATTGAAGAGTCTATCTTTCTGCAATGCAATCGCCGTCAAATTCGAATTCCATTTCATTCGGGTTTGACATATCAAGATCTAAAGAGACTATTCCATGACTATTTTCCGGACGTCTTTCAATCACATCATGAAGTAACTCCTGAGCGAGGCTACATTTACTTTCGTAATGAAAATGATTCCTCCTTTGAAACTTTAACGCACTTAAGGTAGTTGTTGTAATCTGTAGTTTATCTAGAACTAAAAAGGTCTGCCTTCACCAATCTTAACACCTAAATTAAAAACTTTAAAATTATTTAATACTATATATTGCTATATTTGTTTCATTCGTCACAGTCAAATACGAACCGGAGGAATACTATTATTTTTACTTAATGAAGAAATGGCAAGTAAAAGTGATACATCGCCATCATCAAGCGAAGAAAGTAAAAAATTAATGCCAAGATCGCGAGCAGCCATAGATCTTCGTAGATTCAGTAATGAAGATCTTAACAATCTAATGAGCTCATATAAGACATCTGCGGAAATCTCCACACCGAATTCATCGAAGAAATCTAGTATAAGACGAGCTGTTAGTGCAGCAGAAAGGTACAAAGGCTTAAAACCTTCTATTCCAGAATCTCGTTCAAGAGATACCAGCGATATTGAGAATGATAAATCTACAACTTCTCCTATCAATCCCCATCATAAAGATTATCGTTCAAAATTCAATACCAATAAACAATTATTCCTTCAACTGGAAGCAAATGCACCCGGTAATTCACCGTCAGAAAATCCTACACCTATCATGAATAGTCCTAAATTTCGACCCATTGATTTTGGTACTAAAATACCACCACAAAAAGTCAATCCTTATCGTATTCGATCCCCAAATAAAAGATCAGGCATCCATTCCGTTCCAACGTCTTCATGTTCGTCGCCAACAAACGAAAACGTGCCCTTAAATTCTACAAATATCGGCAGATCAACGGAAAATTTATCATATTCGTCTTCATTTGAGCATAATGGCTTTTCATCATTTAAAAAACCTTTATTGAAAAAGCAATCGAGTATGGACAGTGGTTATTCTCATACAGAAAATCGGAATATTCATCATCAATCACTAGTACCTCAGAAACCACAAAACCATAAGAGAAGTGTAAAAATCACGACTAGGAAAGTTGTTAAAACGACTGAGAATCCTAAATCGAAAGAAGTTTCACAAAAAGCTCCAATTCCAATAGAAGATACACGCAGTGTTAATATGCAATCCAGTACCGACCATGCATCTACATCTTCTGTTGAATCCTATTCCAAATTTAATCGGATTAAACCCTCAGAAGGTGAAGAAAAAAGTAAAGGAAGTAAGCCAATGTATAAGGCGAACCCAGATTCTGATTGCATCGACAAAGAATCTAGCTTAGGCAGGAAAGGAAGTAGAATTGCTATTAGGAATACAGCGAAAATTTCATCTGATCAAGATGTCGATATAGATGATGAAAATACGCTTAAATCAAATAACAGCGAAAGTAACTCTATGAAATCATTACAACCCAAGCGTAGCAAACCTCCTAGATCTTTGCATACTCCACCAAGCCAGCGTAGGTTGCAAGAATTTAAAAATCATTCGCAAAACAGGTCTACCTACGGTTTAACTAACATTAAAAGTCCTACTGATAGAAAGATCGATAAATTAGTACCGGCAAAATATTCAAATCCTGACGATACGCTAATCAAGGATGACTCTGATTTCTCCATCAAGGAGCAGGCTGAAGATTATTCAGCATCATCTAATGAATTTCAAGGCAAGCCAGCACTTGATGAGAAATTTAGCAAATCGATGGAAATGATGAATATCGCCAAAGCTGCTAGCATACAACAATTCAGAAACGCCAGCGATTCCGATAGCGAAATTTTCGAAGAAAACAAAGGCGACAAAATATTACCATGGCAAGATATTAATTACAAAGAAAACATTGATACTCAATCCGGTAAGAAGCCAAAATTTGGATCATTAAAACGACTGCAAGGTGATAGCGAAGTTTTCGAAGAAAATAAAGGCGACAAAATATTACCATGGCAAGATATTAATTATAAAGAAAACATTGATACTCAATCCGGTAAAAAGCCAAAATTTGGATCATTAAAACGACTGCAACGTGATAACCCGAAACAGAATGAAACAAATTCTGATGGTCAACCCGCCATTGTTGTTTCAGAAAGTGCAGCCTCGAAAGCAAAAGAAAGTGACAACGTAGATATAGCTAGCGAGGATGAAATTGATATGTTTGAATATCAATTTTCACTAAATCAACCGTCAGTATTTAGCGATTCAGAGGGTTACGATATCCAAGCTGTTGATAGGCAAAGAATTAACAGTTCATCAGAAGCTATAGGTATGATAAATAGTATATTAAAAAGTAAAATACGACGTGACATCGGTACTTTAACAGCCCCAATTTTAGTTTGCAGTTTTATTCTAATTTTTTGAAGCTGCTGGTATATAATCAATTGAGCAGATATAACTGTTATGTCGTAAAAGCTACTGTACTTTTATTCATTCAAATTTTCCATTGAATTTCTGCTGAATTTTTGTCTGATAGATGCTTTCATCGAACAATATAAAAGTCCAGGCGATACTTCAAGTAAGCAATCGCCGACAGAATCAAGGTTAGATTTCAGTACTTTAAGCATTATACTGTATATTCACTTCAATATAGTGGCACTAATAATCTGTTTTTGTTTAATTACTCAGAGAAAAATCGGATCGAATTGATAATATTGAACAACAGCTAAAAAGTCTTACGCTTATGCTAACTCAGAAGAACCAAGAAACTGTAAGAGAATTCCAAGGTATGTGCCATATGTAATCAACCCTTTCAAAACGCCTCTAGCGCAGGGTATTACATGCTATAGTATTATATCGTAGTAAAAAAATTCGATATTAATAAATTAATTTCAAGAATATTGCAAATCTTGTACAATAGACTTATGAACAATTAGGATTACGGAAAAAATAACCACGCTACTGAATTAGTAACAATTTATTCCACGTCTTGTGCGTCCACCATGCATCTCATAATACAAAATTTAACTTGCTTAGTGGCTATCTTAATTAGTTTTGTCATGTACAGTATAATAAATTGTACCTTCGATTCTGTTATACTATGGAAGTAATATTTTGACAAGAGATAATACAGTAATAAATAAGCTCAGCAAAAAATCAGCAACTATCTAGTGGCCTTGATCACATTTTCATGCCCACAGAGTATAGAAAAGTAATAGCAAAATAAAACACATGAGATGATATCTATATATCTTGTAGTTTCTACCTTGAGTAAACTGGAAATGATTTTTCATAAATCAAATATGTTATGGACATAAAGATAGTGTCACTAAACATAAATATTTTATAGCCAAAGAGACAGAATTGAATACAGAAATGAACCAGTTCAAAGACAAAATTCAAGTTATCGCGACTAATATCCTTAAGGACGTAACGAAGTTGCGAGAGGAATACACTAGCCTTCGTCAGCAACAAGAAATACAGCAGCAACTCTTCGATATAACGTTAGCTAATACGATTAAATCAATCCGAACAGCGACATCTGTGATGACAAGAGGTATAAATCCCAACTTATTCTAATCTTACTTTGCATCATAATACTTCAGTCGTTAAAACTGTTTCAGTAACAAATGAATACGGTAGACCTACGTCTTAGTTACCATTTGCAAATATTTCTCTAGTGTCATCGTCTAGCATTAATTCTCAAGATTACATCAATATCTGTATCGATGATAAGCTGCTCTATCAAAGTATCAGTAGTCATATTATACGGCTCACTTTAACAACAGAAATTGCTAAAACTTTATTTTTTGCGAAATTAACCTCAGGAAAGTTAATTGGCATAAGTTCCATCTTTGACTTTACTCTTAAAAACCCCTTTTAGCTATAATTGATCTTAAGCAAACATCAATGATGTTAATAACTTTCTTGATCAATATCTTTTAATGATTAGGGCAAGATATTGTCCGAGATGAAAGATTAGCTGCCGATAAAACTAAACTTAACTACCAAAAGCAATCTAACCAACTCACTAAAGAAGTAGAATTGTTATCTAGAGCGATTGCTGTGTTGGAGTACGATGCCCGTAAGCGCTTTTGTAGAATCGACAGCTCAGTTATTAAGGCATTAAAGTTGGCTATTATCGAAATTAATTCTTCTATTACCAGTTTAGCACAAGGTATTTTCCTATTTAATTCATCATTTTGCTCATGCTATATTTAGTATAAATTGCATTATAATACACCTGATAAACTACTTCGTTATGTAATAATTGAAACTGATGGTATCGCTATTCTTGCAATGGACTTACAGAAGAATTCCCTAAAATCAAATCAGAATTAAAGGAGGTATTAATTAAAGAGCAGAAGTTAGTTGTGATGGATGAAAAATTTATTCTATCAGAGCCAGAGCGATTAGAATCAGCCTTAGATCAGTGTCGACGTTTAATGTCTTATATGAATAGTTTAGTAGCATCCGTTAAACTTAATGCTAAGAAGCAACGCAGTGGAAATCGCGCTAGCAACATAGCAGATTATATTAATTTACTGGCATTGCAACGGCAAGCACAAGATGACTATGAAGCTAATGAAGCAAAATCAGTTCTACAAGCTAATATCGAAATTGCTAGTGCTTTCAATCATGAAAAGCGTTTGTCGTCCATAGAGGTAGGTAACTCTTGTACACTTGCACATATAGGGTTCTGGAGAAATTTAAGTATTAACTTTTCCAATTAAAATAAAAGTTATATTTTAAAATGAACACCCTTATAAATAGTCTAAAATAGAACCCATTTCTAAATTGGAACTCACTACTACGGATTACAGTATCAATTTAAGCTGGAAAATACTTTGATTATCTTATCAAATATTAAAGTTCTCTAGACAAAATATCCTAATAACAGCATTTATCAGTCTACTGGTAAAGCTGGAAGTTGACGATTAGAAAGTTTAGATTGGTTCTTCACATTACATAACAATAGTGGATCCCAAACTAGGTTTAAGCTGTGACTTTTAAGTTAAAAGATATGAAATTGTGCAGAAATTAAATGACTAGAAGTTGTACCGTATAAAATTAACATGTAATCTTATTAGAATATTCTGATGGCTACTAATAAAATAATATCGAATACGAGTATATTTTCAGTAGAGCAAATTACTGTTTCGTAATTATTCGTACTAAACTATACACATCATAGTTTATATTTCACTTTTTACAATCAAATGATTTATTTACTAGTGATAGTTACAATGAATTTTTTGATCATATATTGTCAAACTTCGTTCTCATTTAAGTGTTTTACTGCTGGTATTGGCGTGATAGCCTACCTCCTACTGTACTTGCAATGAATTATTGTCTAATTTCTGTTCCTACAGTTATACTACAGTAAGTAGTCTATTCTGTGCATATAAGTAACTGAAATATTGACATTTTGACAGAGGGCTATGGAAGTTCGAGCTTTCATAAATGAATTAAGAATAAGATATGAAAATAAACACGATGATGACGATGGCCTATCTGGTGTTAGTTCGAATGAATCGGATAGTTACCAGCATGAATCCCATAATGAAGATATAACAAACTCAGTTATTGATTCTAGTCTAGCGACTGAGCCAACAATTCATGATTCTAATTTATCCATATCAAAATTGGAAAATTTATCAACTGTAGATTCGATTCCATCAACAACAAGCATTTATGGCCGAGATATTGGTGCTTCGTTTACAACGACACCACCGCCACCGGTATGGCAAGAAGTAGATGAAAATGTAGAAACTAATCAGGATAAAAATACCACAACTGAATCAGGAAAGAAGAGAGGTGCTATATTTAATAAACTCACTGGATTTCTATATCGTGGGAAGAACGAGTCCCCACAACCCAAATCGAGACCATCATCTATTATTAGTACAAACGAATCGGAAAATGGAGATATCCAATCATCTCAAACCATGTCAAAGAGCCCATCAGCTCAGCGTCGATTAGATGCTTACAAAACTGAACCAGTAGAATCACCAGGAACAAATCCATTGAAGCACTACCAAGGCCAAGGTAGTTTAACCAGTGATCAGATCATACAAGAATTATCATTGCGACACAATATTGACATTGCATCTATGCAAAATAAGGATAAAAATACGACAAATTTTGTAAATTATAGCGATAATTTAACAAGTTCAGGATTTCAACCAAAGAGGCAATCATCGGAAATTCCGTCAACTTTTCATAACGAAAATTTAACGGACACATCATTATCAAAATCCGCATTAACGGTATCAGCATCGGAACTTCCACCTGCTAATATTAATTTAGCTACAAAGAAAGATAGAAGTTCCTTATCGTTACCGTTATCGAAAGCTAATGATATAAATGCTATACGTAGGGATCAGTTTCTTTCAGCAGCTGATTCTAATCCTAATGAAGCTAAATCTAATGGCAAATACGACAGTGTTTTAGCAGCTAATGGTTCCAACGCTGTTAGTAAGAAAGATGTCCTTGCATCCAAATCTGTTAATGCAAGCCCAACAGACAGCCAAAACATTATAGCTTCATCAAATCCTAATAAAACTAATTTACTGGATAGCAAAGATAGTATTATGTTGTCTAAGCCTACGCTATCAATATCCTCATCGAAATCAATGGATTTAAATCTAATAAACCCTCATAACGAAATCGATGGGAAAGAAATAACAGCTGCTGAGGCTAAGAGACGGAAAAGCCATACTGTAGTGACATATGATTCTGATCAGGTCTCATTCTTATAAATCTTCTATCAATATCATATTTCCTTTTATGGAAAGCTCTAGAATGCATCAGAGATTGGACAAGAAAGACAATTTATGGCAAGTTACGGTAGTTGAGTGATAGCCCTCTAAGGTCGTGGACACTTGTAGATATCGTGAACATTAAAATACTGTAAGGAATGCATCGCAACATCTTCTTCACAGAACGTAAATGGTAAACTTTTTGTATGATTGACAGAAATAAAATTAAACTGTATACTTTCTCACATTTAAAGCGAGGTAACTTAGTGATAATTGTCGTATTGTAATTTTATAATTGTAGTATATTATCCTAGGTGGCGCTCTTCACATGTTAAATACGTGTATAAACACTTAGAAGTAACAGATGCACAAAATTGCCATCGACAATATTGATTCAACATACACGTATGCATGTCTTTAAATATCATAAAATTAATATAATCACTAACGATCGACCTTAAAATTTAATATAAATTGTTATTTAACGGCAAGAACATCTTAATAATCCAATGCATTATTGTCATCATCAGAATCAAATTGCTATAAGTAAGTATAGCCAATTTCTGTCACTCTTTTTGTTCTGCTGGTGAGTTTCCTTAAATTTTCTTTAACTTAAGATTATTTAAATTATTATTAATCACCGCTGAAAATTCAGTAATGATATCACATATTTATACTGAGCACTTGCATGACTGCCTCGTCTATAAAATCTTAAGCAGCCAATCTGTTTTTGATTGCTCTGTTAATGTAACATACACAAGAAATGGAGACTATAAAGCTACACAAGTACTATCATATAACGAATATCAGAACTGAATAAAATTTATAATGGTATGCTATTATGATTACTTGATACACACTATAATCATTACTGATATGATTAAAAGCGCAATTTCTATGTAAATCTACAGTTACTACGGATCTAAATTGCAGAAAAGGGTTTTACATTACACTAGTTGTATCATGCAGCTTTAATGGATAATTCCCGATATTAAATACTGCACGCAGTTAGCAAAGCTTGATACGACCGATGCCCAAATTAGTATTGTCATTAAGTGAATCTAAAGTAAAATTTTAATGGCCCGTGAAGTAAAAGAAAAACGATTAAGAATTATTTCGTCATGCATTAATAGTTTAACAGCCAATAGATATCAATTAAGTTACAAGAAGCTAATTGAGGCAGCAAGGATAATTAGGATAGAACTGGTTTAAAGTTGACAGATGCAATCCCGTATACACTGTAGCTATTGAATAAATTCTGTAAATAAAATAGCAACTAAAATGATAAAGCAGTATATCTAGGTTCGCATAAAACAGCCTTTCAAGTCTTGCAATTTTGAAAATAAATGATTTATTAACAGTCTAGTTATGCTACATTTGCTGTCATTGTTCCAATTAATTTCTATTACAATCATAAACATAATTCAATAAAATTCCGTTGAAAATTTTTCTTCCAAATCATATTTTGACCAGTAGAAAATACTTAGCTAAAGTTGTTCATTGAATTTTACAAGCATTGTTGTTCACTGATTAGAGCAAGACGTCTCAAGTCTAAAGCTAAATTAAGAAAAACTAAAAGGCTACTAATGTCCAAAGCTACGGTAGTGAAATCATGAATTTAAGCTTTTGTAGCTAATGAATATTATCACTGAATTTAATGTAAAATACTTGAAAGGATGTCTATAACCTTAATCATTATCCTTACACTTTGTTAGAAAGTTTCTTTCTCCTGAAAATTTTACTCGTATTCAGGACTTTTATCTGATTCATCAGACATTTCCTTATCTTCCAATGCCTCCTCAGAGAGTGAACTCATTCCATTTTTCTCATTCTCAAGATTGCTTTTTGTTTCTGAAAGGTCCTTCGCATCCTTTACTTCATTATCGAGCTGTCTATTTAAAGATTCAATCTCTTTTTCTATTCTTTTAGCTTCTTTAAGCAATTCATTGACTTTTTGATCACTTTCCTTGGATTTTTGTTCATCTATTTCCTCTTGTTTTTCTTCTTTTAATTCGTCCATGTCCTTCAAATCGGGTACATCACCGAGATTAAATTTATCTCCAAGATTTTCAGCATCATTTACTGATAATTCTTCCGCCGAAATGGAAAGAACCATGGACATAAACATGCAAAGCAGAAAGACAGCGCACGACTTCATGATGGTTGGTTATTCTATTCGATATAAGCAATAAATGCAGAGAGTTTATTACTTAGATCACTGGTTGATCAAACTTAGTTGTCCACATCTGTGATAAGAAAGACTGATAATTGAATTTTTACAAAGATATTCTAAAACATTACGTAAGATACTTACCAATAGCTATTAATTTGATTAATGGTGATAATCCTTCAGGATAAAACTGACTATGAACAAGTTGTCAGATAGCAGAACTAAAATGCGGAGAGTTGTTAACCTACAGCTAATTTATATCTCTTTAGTGTCTTAGCTTATCGAAAGTTAAGAGTGAGCGTATTGTTGTTTCATGGTGAACGCATAATTATCAAAGCTATTATGATCCAGAACAAATTTAATGACTTCATAATAACGAAGAAATTGATTTAAAAGCTGGATGATGAACCGGTACGAATACATACCGTATCTATTCACATTTCACTAAGTATATCCGTATTATTGGAGAATTAAATCGCAATTATTACTTTCGAAGAGTGTATAAGATTTATGCAAGCCAAACGTAAAATTTCTTTCTCATGTTTCGTTTCCGTATATTAAACGCTATTTACAATAATGATAGAAAGTATTCTGATGGCCAACAGTAAATTAAAAAGAATTAATTTACAATATACTAGTTTTGCATAAATTGTAGCTATCATCTTCGTTATAGTCAGTAATATTTCGATTGGTATGGTAGATCAAGGATCATCATGAACAATATTAAGTAGAATAGAGGACGGTGATATTTTGTAGTTCATTTCTATGTTCAATATTGAGCTTATTGTTAACCCAATGCAAAGAAATTATTACAATCGGTATAGAACTTTCATAACCAAACACGATACGAAGATCTCTGTTCTTCTCAATATATTCATTAGAGAAATCAAGCCGACTTTCGAATGAATGATCATAATTCGATAGAATTGCCGGAACCTTTATCAACATACTCCTACTTTATCATGCGTCACTAATATGGAATAGATTTCGATAGAATACAAATAAAGTAAATACTTTCGATAGACACAACTAACTAAACCTAGCATTTTAACCCTATGCTTTCTTTGCTTTTATAAGAATAAAAAAATAATACGAAATATAAAATAAAATATAATTTTACGTAATGCTTATCAATTTATGATTTAATTATATAATATCTTCAGTTTAACGAATAACTAGGATGAAATTTTCGATTTGGTTCTGTATTCTTAAACTATAAGTATCGATTACCATTCAGCTCGTTTCAAAAACCTTCTAATAAAATTCGAAAAGCTTATCTATTTATCTTCTATACAGTACAGCTAATCGCCATAATCAGTTTATAATGATTAAATTATAAGTGTAAAATAGATCTTAAATTCTGATCCAGGGCAGTTTTATCGAAAGTTAGGTGTTTCTCGATATTCAGGTGCTATATAATCTTTGTATTTGTGAAACTATTATTAATTGATATCTATTGTCACGATACAAACTATTGCTAAAGATAGATATTTATAGAATAGTCATGATTTGATCAAGTCTTGGTCTCATGCTAGGTTTAATAAATATAATGTTCTTAGAAGATATCGTAGTTGAGACTAACTACTTACAGTAAGAGCTATTGCGATTATGTATATTACCTTGGTTGCAAAACTGGTTTGCAACATTAACGATCGAAAAACGGGATGACATGTATCGTTAAGAGAAAAACTGCTTTCCGTTTACTATTATTCCAAATAATAGATATTTACATAACAAAAAGGAGAAAGCGCAGTAATCCATGATCTCATGATTACTGCATTCCTACAATATGATAATTTGCTGCAAAGGGACTTTCTCAATGTAAGATACTATTCCAGGATAATAACTAGGCTAAATTATTTCATGATCAGAATCGTAGGGCAATTAAAAAAGAAGTCTACTGCTAATTCTATAACACATTACCCTATATTTTACAAAGAGAGTGGCATGGGCATATTTGTGATAAGGTTCGATTCAATCTCGGGAAAATAAATCAATAAATATGCGATGAACGCGTATGGATCAACGAATGAAATAGTGTAAACAATCCATTTGCTCTTGTATCAAATCTAAAGCAATGATTTTGGGTAAAGCATTCATATCAGATTATAGCTTAAGTTATTACTGTTGCTGTATTATATCCGATGATCTTGTCGTGTGATCTGTTAATATAATGAAAGTAGTAACCTCCGATTTTATTTACTGGGACGGAATTAAAAATATACTCTTAATTTTAAATTTTGAAAACGCTTATTGAGACATAAACTAATTTTATAACAATCATAAATAGATTTAAGCGTAATTGTATATGTTGTGAAAATAGTAACGGGAGAAAGGAAGTAGTAGTATGAATCACATTAGATTCTAATCTACTAATAAATAATATTCGTAATAAAGATGTTGTAAAAAAAGACTGACTAGCCAACTTGAAGGGTCTGTAATTAAATATGGAAGGGTGTATTATCTTAAAAATTGAGTTTGACATACTTAATGAGCGGAATAAGCTATAGCAGATCGCCCACACAGCAACAATATTTTTATTATTATCAATAACAGCTAATGAAAATGCTAATCTACAGGATGCTAAGTGTTATGTAAAAGTTAACCTTGAAATATACTGTCTTCGCAGCAATGAAGGTCTGATTTATACAGGCTTACATGGCATTAGATCGCTATTTGTACGATATCATAGAGTTGGAGTGATTAGATGACAGCTAAAACATGAATGCTCTAGATACAGCATTAGTGGAAAATCCTTTACCGTATGTTTTTGTAAGTGTACTCGTTGGTTATTTATCAATTAGGCTTCAATTAATTTATCTATTTTTATCACTGTTCAATTACTGACATGAATTTAATCCTAATCGTATGTGAAGCTCCAAAAATAATTTACAGTACAAATTAAATTTAACTAAAATTTCTGCTCAAATCGATACACTCCTGTAGTAGTTTCAGCTAATTACAGTAGTAATTGAAGTACGGTAGTATTAAGAAGTAGAATAGTCTACGATACTTATACGGTAATTTCATGATTGCTGTTGATGAAACGGTGTACTTATACTATTCGTATTATGTGTGTATAATTAGGGATTGTTGAACCCAAGCACTACAACCTTGAAACGTCTTTCTTGGACAATTTAAATATTCCTTTACTTCCTAGTAACCAAATTAAGAATCGTAGATTAGAAAGTCGACATTTTTTTCGAAATTCTATTCATTTATGTAAGAAATATCTTATTTGTAAGTAGCTCTAATTCCCTCACCATCCTTTATTAATTTACTTATCTTTAATACTCACACATCTGAAATTCTTTACTGATATCTCGTCTAGCGAATTGTTTAGAAACTGCGCCATCACAGCTTTCAGATATTTGGTAAAAGGCCTTCAGTCGCGATGGCAGGAATTTAAAGGTGGATAAGAATGCTAGCTTCAAAATTCGTCGAGGAAACGCCATAATTCTATATTACGATAGTAATGAAATAATCTAGAACATTTCTACGATAATTATGGTAAACAAGTTGCAAAATTAGTTTGCCATGGACATACTCCTAAATAGTTGGGGAAATGTAGTGTAGTATTACTTAAAACTTGCACATTCGATTACTGGGCAGATGCGTAACCAGACTGAATTAAGAAAGTATAATGTAATGTATACTGCATGAGCTAGGACTAATTTGAGTGCCATACTTCTAGTGTAGGCGTATATTATTTCGTATGCATTTGTAAAATGTGTAATAAAGTTTACCAAGTCATAAAGGAAATGATAATGTCAACATTTCAAAAGTGGTAATAATTTATGTCAGTATATATCAAATGTAAACTATTGAAAAATTCTGGATAGCAAACGGTGTATACAGAATCATTTTCCTCTTTTCCTTTATTAGATATCGTACTCTACCGTGTATAGTTAATCAGAGAGAAAAGTCGTTTTAACTCTGTATTTATCTCATCTGGAAATGAGCCATGAATAAACTCACATAAACTTGCGAGATCATCAATACTTATATGTCGAACCTAAAATCTCCATGATATTTGTAAATGAATGAGGTTAAGCAAAAGTATACTAGAATACATTTTATATTAGTAAACTACATACAAATTGTGGCAGTTTTATTTCGCTCTAAAAAGTAATATTACGAAGCACCGTGCATGGATAAAGTATCAAAAAGTTGATGACGTAGGGAAACAAATCAATTTTATTAAAACGTTAGTCTACAGCCATTGCAGTCCGTTTTCTTTCATGCCTAAGCCATATTTTATTAGCTTAGATGAAATTATAGGAAAAACAATCTTAGTTGATATTCTTTTCAAGGTACGATTATCTATCATACCATTAATGACATGTAAACTATCGGATGCATCGCAAAAGTAAATTTTTCGCGCAAGTAAAATCTATTTTTATTGACTATATTTTATTAATGATCAAGCAAGAAGATTTTCGTATAGTCTATCAAAATCCATAACAAGATAAAGCAGAATTATCTATTAGATATGCTAGACTGTATTAAAACTTCAAACCAGTTGATTTACAGTTTATTATTTATGTATAAAATCGCAGAATGTTTTTAGTGTACGTGTAGGCAGTGCATTTGTTTATGGGATATTATGAAAGACTTACAGCATGGGTGGTATGAGATATTTATGGTTTCATTCGATATCGTAAATCTCATATCAAAAATAAAGGGTAAGAAGGTTTCCAATTTCTACGTCGTATGGAAGTAGATCTGTGTCGTATACTTGAACTTCGTCTTCGTGCAGTCAAAACTACTGTACCGCCGGCATTCTGAGATATAGTTCTACGATAGGCAAAATATCGAAGCCGCTGTCGTTGACCCCATGATATCCTCATTTTCTGTAGATCATTGAGTAGTAAAGTAAGAAACACACTGTTAAAATATTATTTATGGATTTATTATTTACTATAAGGATATTGTAATTTTCGCTATCAAACTCATAAAAAATATTTTAATTTGAAAAAATCCATATCACAGGAAAATCACCTTGTTCTTAGTAGGGACCATCTTTGGATTGATTAAATTATTCTGATTCTCCATATTCTTGTTCGTTTCCTTGAAATTACACCAAGGATTAATCTCACTCTTGTCTTCAATCTCGTTTTTATCTTGTAGTCCATAAAGGAAACTATCTTGTTCTTCTTGCGTGTCATCAAATTCTCGCTGGAGATTCAAAAAATCAATAGGTTCCATTTCATCAACATGATTGCTCATTTGTTCATCTAAGGCATTGAAAATTTGTTTTCTGTCTGATATATCTTCATTAGTCAATGCAATTACGTCCCCAATTGGTGAAGAAGCTACCAATAACACCAGTACAACTAAGCCGTTATTCGATGGTAGAACCATGATCGCTATAAGGATATTTTTATAGCTCTTGTAAAGTCTGATTACACAGAAAAAGAAAGTTTTGAAAGTTTGAAATGAACTAAAATCGAAACACTATTCATATTCAGACTGCATTAAAGTCGTAGAAGATGAATGTAGAAGAGATGAAGAAAAACATTAAAGATACTATAACATACCTGTTAGTTACGATAGAAAAAAACAAGAAAAACTACCGAACGACTCCTATGAAGAATGAAATGATAACAGGAACGTAACTGCTTTTATAAGGTAATTTAGAAAACGCAATGTAAATAGAAAGTAAATTTCTTAATTCTTTAAAGGCATATTTTCTAAAAGAATTCAAGATAGCGACTAAACTACGCCTTATTTACTTTTCAGCTTATTTTTCATTTCAGATTCTGTCATATCATCGAGAGGATAATGCTTTGATTATTCGTTCAATGTACAACCTTTACTGTTAATTAGTATCTCTTTCTTCTTGTCAATCATATATATATATATGTTAATATATATATATTAATTATAATTACAGTTTAGAAGTTAAAATTTACTAGTATACTCACTAGCTAGCAATTGCTATCTTGAAATAACTTCATACCATGAGATTATTATTAATTTCTATTTAATTGATTGTAATAAGATATCATTATATTGTCCATCGCTTATAATATTATTTAAGATAGCGATTAGAGTAAGCTAATTATAGAATGGCCATTAATTAGGCTTCTTTTCATTCATTTTTCAAACAGCATTCTATCGGATTATTAGAATAATTGTATCGTAATCCTTTGATGTTTAAATAACTTCTTGCTATTACTGTCTATGAACATACCAGTGTTGTGCCGGAACACATCATTAACCCAATTGATCGAACTTTAATAACTGCTATATCTCCAATATGATTCTATATTCTTTATTTGCGTAGAATTTAGTCTTAGACTAAGCTTTAATTACGTTTCGTTTACTTTTTATGTTACATTAAACTTCAGAGGGATAAAACTATTTCGACAATTTAAATAGTTTCATTCTGTTATTTGATCGTTAATTTTCATTCTATAGATTATCAAATATGATATTTATGTTCATCTCTTACACCACATCTTTTGAAGGAAAGATTACTGTTAGCTTAGCTAAACTATCAGTTCCACCTAGGTTAATTTTACAGGATAGATTCCTTTAGCTTAGCGTCACTATATTTCGATTATTTCATTAAATAATCCCATTCTATTACACAACCTTTCGTCCAATTGATTTCTCGTATCGCTGTTGCAAATCAACCATTAACAGGAATATGATGGAAAAGACCTGTAAGCCCATGAAATTTGGTGTAACTACTTATCTCTGTAAGTTAAAAACCTCCCAGTGGCATGGACTTATTTTGTTTTACGTTAATTAAAAATGAGAGTGCCGGGTTTTATTATGCAACCTTCCGAATTTCTGTAGCATACTCTTCAGTATCAGCAACACGTAGCAGTATCGAAAATTTTCACATAAATTCAAACTGCAAACTTATGTTTAATTTCATACGTAGAGTCGATACTAGCAGTCGTATTGAAGTGCTACTCTCAATTCGTAGGGGAGACAGAAAATTGATCAAATAGTTGAAGTTCTTGTAAAACAAATTTTGCACTCCTACTCTATCTTTATTGATCTGAAAGTGGCGGCTTATACACGTGGTCGGTCACACTTGCAACATGGAATAATTACATGTTATAGGTCTGTAGATTAATTAATATACGTGGTATAGATGCAAAATGAACACGTAGAATAAGCAAATCTAAACAATACAATTTTAGAATACTATAAATAATTATGATCAATCACAATTATTATGATAATTACTAAGGTTAAGTTTTATCCTAAATGAGATATATGAGGCACAGCTTCCAGATGCAAGTGTATAGACAGAAATGAACAATTATACTTAATTCTTACGTCTGAAAGATAAGTCTATATTCCAGGACAGTTGTAAGGAGTTTAATCTACTCGATATTTCTATTACGTGTCCGTCCCTCAATTTATTCCTGTATATATATGTAATTAGTTATTGCTCAGACTTACTGGTCTGCATTAGATTAAACTCATTTTTCAAAAAAATCCCTATTAAATTCTTCTTCGGAGAGATCATCGCGCAAACTTTTCTTTTTCGATTCAAATTGCCTTTCAGAACGATTCTCATTCGAATCTTTCTTTTCCGATACAATTTCTAAAGATTTCCTATCAATCCCATTTTTCGATATATTCTCTTCATTCAGCTTATTATCCAACACACTTTGAAAAGCCTCTTCATCTTCATTTTCGGTTCTATTAGTAGTCGCCGTTATATTAAACGGATTATCAGAAATTGGTTTTCCATTACAAGCCTGGCAACAAATATTAGCTTTATCGTATCTTGCGGTCAGATTTTTGTATTCTTCATTTTGATGGTCCAATTTTTGATTCAAATCTCGAGTTTGATTCGTCAATATAGAAATATTTTTACTCAACTCTATTTTATCTAATTTCAATCGTTCAATCTGACTATTTTTAGCTTGTAAAGTCGAATTTAAGCGGATACTTTCATTTCGAACATATTGATGTTGGGCATTAACAGTTGCCATCGAGGCTTTTAAGGTCTGATTTTTCACTTTTAGTCTTCGAACTTTTCGTCGCAATCTGTTCACCTTTGCAGCTTGACTTTTCAATAAAATGATTTTAGCTTCTTTCGCGGCAATAATCGCATCTTTACGGGTGATTTTTGATTGTAGATGTTTTATTTTTTGCTTTAATACAGTGAGCTGCATTTTACAACATACTAGTAGACTGCTATATTGATTGTTTACGGTAGTAAGTTGTCCCTTAAGCCTTGTTACTTTTCGAATAAGACACGCAGTTGTGACTTTGCATCGACGATTGGGAGCCCATTGAGAGTGAATCCTTCGACGTGAATGAATATTTTGTCTTCTCACCTGGTTAGCTTGCCTTCGTAAAGCATTACCTGAATTTTGACTATGTCGCCGCCGTGGACGACGATGCCGAGAAGCTGAATTCTATAGGTATTAAAAGATAGAATATACCGACACAGTTTATTTACTGTAGAATCAATAGATAGAGCCATTCCATGGTTTCTATAGAGAAATATTTGTTGCTTATGATAGCAATATTGTTTAGGATGGAGAAATTTTATTACATTTCGATATAAAAGGGTACTGCGCGCGTCTTGAAATCTAAACTTGTTTTCACAGTTTTAACAATCTCATAAAAGGACTAAACTTCCTACTCTAACAACCGAACAAGCACCGATATCGCGAAAATCTAACGTAAATTAGCTTAAACTGATGAATGATTATTATATTTTATAGATTAATGTATCTTATTTCATCTCTAATAGGCATATACTATGATATCGCCAAAGATTTCGAAATATCCTCTATCGAAAATTCTATTACAAACAGCTAAATACGGTATATTATGATACTATTTACTAGTTGAATTCGATTTCGAAATATCCTCTATCGTAAATTCTATTTGCAACAACCAGATACATTATGGTACAATTTCCAAGGTGAATCCCTTTGAACTAGTAACTTCGTATTTTCATACGGTAAATGACTTCCAAGACAGTTTTCCTTCTTATTTTATTCTTAATAAGCATACTGTACTGGTAATCATTCATTTCAATTAGCATGCATTAATACTATATAGTACGGGAAATTGCGACTTTAAACATTTGTCTTAATGAAAGAAATCATTCTTTGCTATATCATAAAAATAGCTTTAATAATGATTTTGTACTAAAGTACCCGTAATAATTTTTACTCTTTACTGAAATTGCGATAATCGTTGTAATAGCAATAGCCTATACTCATATACATTGCGTTAAGAGAATCTTTCATACCCCACATAGGATACATAAGGTACCATATAAATTGAACTGTACTTTTTCGTAGGAACAACCAATCCTCATAAATATTAAATATCATAATCGGTTTCTTTAGTCGATATGTATAGTACCTGCTTATCTTCATCATTAATGCTATCGTCTCCATCCCTTTCCGTATTATCGTTAGCGATTTCATTATCAAACTTTTCTAAAGCATTTGAGCCATTTTCAGTGATAATTTCTTCACCATCCTTTATTTCCACTTCGTCAAAACAAGCATCTTCCATAGTAGCCATATCCGATTCGGTATTCTTATTATCAACGTTATCTTCGTCATTTTCTTTTTTGGCCTCATTACTTAATACGTGATCTACCGCAGAATAAGCGGTATTTCTGAAGAAATCATAATCTTTTTCATCCGATGACGGAATCTCATCAGTATATGCTTTCGAGATAACTAGTAGGCAAATCAGGGTCAAGAAACGAATATTCATCTTGCAGCACGTCGTTTTTTATAACAGGCTATAAGGTAATTAATTGAATCATAAGAAATATAATTAATTGCAGCAAAAACTATAATAATCACTGCTATACTATAACAGAATAAAGTTAATATTAAATGCTAACCAGACGCCAAAACCCTACGATTACTAACAATTACGATAGTATAAACTTTAAAGTTAGGATATAAACTTCTACCGGCCAAAAATACCTACCTGTACCATGAATAAAATTAAAATTATAAGATGCGGTATCATCGAAAGCGATGCTAAGACAGATGTAAGTCTCGTACAGAGCACAATAATATACGGTAATTTCATCAAGTAACTTAATTGTACGGTAACTTGCCTAATTTCACAATAAAATTGAAACTTTATCGCATTTTACAAGATAAAATTTCCAGTATGAAATACAGCTAATGCAGACAACGTTTGTAGAAGCAATCTTTATTCATACCTATAGCTTCGAGAATTATTGACCTGCTACTCCATCCAATCTCGAGAATTGAAATAAAGGAATTAGATTGCTTGTTCGAATGTTTCAATTTTATACCTTTCGAAAAATTCGCTTATATGAAAGTAACCCATGAAATCCATTCATTGCTTTTCCAAGATTTTAATAAGATCGATACAATATTTGTTGACTTCTAAATTGTTTAAAATAAATATTTGGATTATTGAAAATTATTCCATTATAAAAAGAGTCCAAGACTATGCTCTTATTTTACCTTTATATTAAATATTGTCATGTTATAATTTTCCGTGATTTTAAATAAAAGAATTTCACGAAAACTAAATGTCATTGCAAAACTTTGGTCTATGATAACTGTCCATTCCCTGCAATGGTCTTTGAAATATCCTTTTGAAGCTGACGATAGGGAATAAACGCAATGAGGGTCGATTGTTATAGTCTAAAGATAATGTAGAGCATCTTTATTTATTGTCCTAGCTGAGGTTGTAACTATTAACCCTAGTTGTGATATGAGAAGATACTGCAAAGTATCTGTACCTTTTCTTCATTAATTTAGCAAATCTACCACGTTGTTGTCACTCAATAAAACTATCTTTCTAATTCTAGTGCTTAAACTGATATTGTAAGTATAATTTTCCTTTCATCTTACGAACAGCTTTTCAATAGAAGTGTGGATATTACAATGAACTGCAATACACATTGTTTCCTATTTAATTATTTAACGAAGGCATTTGCAGAAATTTCCCCAATTGATTAATAAATAAGTCCATTAATGTTCCTAATAATAACAATGTAACAACAACGCCTGAACAGAACATCTGAGAATAGGAAAACATCCTGATCTACTGTTATAGCAATGGAACTGTTAATGAAATAAATATTCTATACTGCAGTCAACGGGATCAAAATAATACTGTAATATATCTGCATAAAACAGGTTCATAGCATCTACGGTATTAAGAAGCTGACAAGTACGAGCTTTCTATCATTGTGCTCTCCTACCAAATTTTTTGTTGTCAGTAAGTCTATCATTTTGACTTAGTAAAAGCTAAAAAAGCTATTATATTAAATCATGCAGACCGAAAATTTTAACTAATTAGAAGAAATTTTAAAACGAAAAATACTCAAGAAAAAACTATTTCCATCATTTCTGCTATAAACCTTCTAAAAATGATATTCTACCATAGTCTATTTCGTAGCTTTGTCTAGCTTTAAAACTTGCACATTAAACTGCTGGCATCCCATGGTATCTATCCTATAAAAGTTGTATGCATCCAAATGTTATTGATATGGAATAAATTTAGGATATAATGTAAGATCCGTTTTCTAAAATTATAGAACACAATATTGATATAGAGAAAATTCATACTCTTTTTATTGATGGACTTTGCACACATACTCATACACGTAAAGTATATTACCAGTAATTCACTAAGATACTATAAGAAGACCATAGACAACATGATAGCGCCGTTAAACTAATGATGTAATTTGCATCATTATAATTATAAAAGTTTTTTCCTAAAAGAGAACTGTAAGGTATAGCTTTCAAATACAAGTATACAAACAGAAAAAGAGTAATGAACCGAGTGATCATTTTAATAATGCGTTACTAGATTTACCCTAAGTTTATCGGATACATCACAAGTGAATGTATATTTATATAGCAAAATCACTTTAAAATATGTATAAAAGTCGATGCTTAATACTTAACTTTTACACTTGAAAGCTAAATCTTTAATTAAACATCATCCAAACAATTTATAAATTTTAATCTTTCTACATTCTCATTACATGTCTACGCTATAATTTATTCTTGCATACGAGGACACTAAATAAGTACGTATGCAACTTATCAGCCATTACTATGATTTATCAGTCTTTGTCTGCCATAGATCAAACTCATTTTCCAAAGAGTCCTCTTTAAATTCTTTCTTAAACAGATTATCAACCAAATCTTCCTTCTTCGATTCAATTTCTGACGATTTCTCATCTATCTTGTTTTCCGAAATATTCTCTTCATTCAATTCATTTTCCAGCAAAGCTTGAAAAGCCTTTTCATCTTTATTTTTAGTACTACCATTCGATATTACATTAAACGGATTATCGGGTATGGGTTTTCTGTTACAAGCCTGGCAGCAAATATCGGCTTTATCGTATCTAAATGTTAGATTTTTGTATTCTTCATTTCGATAATCTAGTTTTTGATTTAAATCTTGAGCCTGATTAGTCAGTGTCGTAATATTTTTATTTAACTGTATTTTATCTAATTTTAATTGTTCTATCTGACTATTTTTTGCTTGCAGAGTCGAATTTAAATGAGCAGTTTCATTTTGGGAATGTTGATATTGGATATTGAGAGTTTCCATTCTAGCTTGTAACACTTCATATTTACCGTTAAGCTTTCTAATTTCTTGTCGCAATGTATCCGCTGTTGCTGATGCAGATTCTAATGAAACCGTCAATATTCGTAATCTAGCTGTAAGCTTACCAATACGACCAGCCAATACAGCGATTTGTTGACTTTGACTATCAATCGTGTAATTTTTACTAGCAATAATGGCATGCAACTGACTAATTTGAGTTTTTTGATTTAATATAGTTGTATTGAGTTGACCAATAAGTCGAGACTGATTAGAAACCTTAGCCTGTAATTTCTGAATGGTCGTGTTTTTACTAGTAACAATTTGTCGCAGATGATTGATAGTAGCAGCTTGATTGGCAACTGTGCCTCGTAATTGATTGATTATTGCATTTTTACTTTGGATAGTACTTTGCAATTGAGTAATTTGGCCGTTTTTATCAATTATAGTTTGTCGTAGTTGACTAATAGTAGTATCTTTATGACTGATAGTTTGCTGCAATTGAGTAATACGATGATTCTTATTAGAGATAATTCCTTTCAGTCGTGTGATTTCTTGATTCTTGGTGTTAATTGTACTACGCAATTGAGAAATAGTTCGATCTTTAGTAGCTATTCTACCATAGAGCTGTTGAATGAGACTGTCTTTAGTAGCAATAGTTTGATATAACTGTATAATGGTATTGTCTTTATTGGCCAGTTGAGTTTGTAGAGTAGCAATTTTACGATTTTTTAAGGCGATTATCGTTCTCTGACGACGTATAGTGACATCTTTAGAAATAAGTCGTAGTTTTAGGCGTCTAATAATCGATTTTTTAACGCTAATTACTGCAATCAATCGTTTAATTTTGGCTTGTTTAACAGCAATAATCCTCCTAAGTCTGAGAATTTTCGCTCGTAATATCGCTATTCTTTGTTTTAAGGTGATAATCGTACTATTATACCACCCTCGTAGATTAGTATATCGTTGTCTTAAGTTGAGGAGTCGCCTCCTAAGTATCGCTATTCTTCCAAAAAGACGCATATTTTTACTTTTCAATTGACTAATTAATAAGCGTTGATTGAAAAGTTTTCGACGTAAGCGAGCATTTTGGTTTCTTAACCTATTAACTTGCCTTTGCAAAGCATTACGCGAACTTTGGCATTGCGTTAAACTCGTTATGTAGCCAGAGCAAGAATTTACAAACGGTTGTTGGCGGCGATAGCGACGATGACGACGAAGCCAACGAAAACGGCGACGGCGGCCCCAAGATGATTTAAAAGTTTTCTATACGGTAAACAACATATAAATAAAAATAATAATCAGTGTTATATAGATTTAGGACTATTCTATGATTTTATCGACAATACATATAGGCAAGTTTGTAAGCCGCCACTTCATATTGCAGCCAATCCATTAGTCATAGTATCTACATACAACACTCGCAATAGACTCCGAGATCGAATACAGTCATTGAAAGATACGATCTTCGCCCATTATCCGAATAAATATCTTGTCCGTTAATTACACGATTTCATTAGATGCCGCTAGACTGTAGGCTAGTAGATGAAATATTTGGACTATATCCAGTATACATTGCCATATAAATTACCATGATTACATAGGATTAGATCATGCCGATTAGACATACCGCGTGTGATGAAAATCTAAGCTTAGTTGAGGTATAAATGATTTGTTTATGTGATATTTGATATAATTCAAAAGATGGGTTAATCACTTCTGATGAAATTTAAATAAACATGTGCAAAAAGTACCACAATAATCCCTAGTTAGCCTAATTTCTCTTGATATTAACATTCTTCAAATTGAATCACTTCTACTCCGCTTCAAATAAATAATTACTATGAAAGCATAACCTAGTTTTAATTTATTATTCTTGATTCGAGGGACTGAGCTTTCTACTCTAACATACGAACAAACGCCCATATTGTAACTTCAATGAGCAGGTACGGAACTTTAATGTCCGAAACTGCTTCCAAGTATCTTTCATCTTAAATTAACTCTATTTCCAATTTTTAATAACCAGGTACAATATTTCTTCTAAAGCTATACGAGTATTCCTTTCAACTGATTACTTTATCATTCTATGACATTGGTAACTGTTAACATGCGCATTTCTTTTTATTGCCTTTCCATTAAGCATGCTACAATAATCGATTGATTAAACCTATCCTCAACTAACAGATTAGAGTTTTCCGCGTCTGTGATATTTTTCTGATCAAATAGGCTAGTTCCGAATGCTACTATTTCGTACTTGAATACCCGAAAAAATTTCTACTTAATTCTCAATCTATTATCGCAGTTGTAGTAATAGTTATCATATATTTATACCCGTTAAACTGAAAGAATCCTCTACAGTTAATAAACTATCTCCATACCATCATACAAATTTAATAACCTACCGGTACCATAGCTTATTATAAACTAATCTCTCTAACTTAATATCAAATGTTTAAGCGATCTTTTAGTCGATATTCACCTGCTCGCCTTCACCATCAATGCTATCATCTTCATCCTTTTCCGAATTATTTTCTTCTATTTCATTATCGAACTTGGTTACACCGTTTCCATCAATTTCTTTGTATTCCTGAGATTCTACTTCGCGAAGACTGGTATCTTCCATTTCAACTTTATCCGATTCAGTGTTTTCTAGTATGCTGTCAACTGCAAAACTGGCAGTATTTCCGAGAAAGTCATTCTCGGTTTTATCTGATGATGGAATCTCTTCAGCAGAAGCATTGGAGATCACAAGTAAAAAAATCAAGGCCAAAAGGCGAATCTTCATCTTTCAGTACGTATCTTTATTGATAGTCTGTAAGGCGATATACTAATTTCAGAATAAAATACTTTTCAGTAAAACTGAAAAGATTATTGGTACCTTATAAAAGATGTAAGTTAACATTGAATACTAACTAAAATCAACACCATAACTTTTCACTACCAACTGCAATAATATAAAAAATTTAGAATTAAATAGCCTTGTGCATTACTTATGAATAATACTAGCCCATACTTTGAGTACACTGAAATACCGTATTGCACTATCGATTATAACAAACTACAGGTAAGACATAATATCTCGAGCCCTGTACATAGTTACATAGTGCAATAAAATAAATTTTCCGGTACGGTAGCTTAACCTAGTTTCATAATAAAGCTAAAATTGCACCGTACGGCGTTCTAAAAGATGAAAATCTTATACACGTATGTGAAAAATGACAAATACACAAGAAATTCGCTCAGCAATCTTATACCTGTATTTCGATAATTATATCAATTATCGATCGGCGACAAAGGCCAATTCGAGAATAAAAGAATGGATGAATATAATCATATGGCTAAATGATGAACTTTTATATTCGGAATTTAGCTAATCTGAAAGTAAATCAGGAAATTACATTCATTCCTTTTTCTAAAGATTTAAGAGAACAGTAAAACATTGTTGACTAAAGAACTATCCAAAATATACTTAGAGAATTATTACAGGTTATCTGGTATACTATTATGCTGAAATAAATTGGGCGCTTACTTTATGTGTACATTTAATGCAGTCATATCAAAGAAAATTACGAATTTTTCCATGTATTGAATTAAAACGGTCTTAAGGAAACAAGACATTACTGTTGTCCTTTTTATCCTGATCTATCGCAATCATTCATTCTCCATTATTTTTCTTAATGGCATTTAATCATTACCTTTAACAACAAACTTTCTATGTACTTTAGATTCAATTCACCTTTAAAGCTAAGTATAGAAAATAATGATAATAACTTACTTTAACTCAAAGATAACATAAAACCATCTTGACCGATTCAAACAGCCAATGAATTTTACGGCTCTTTGGAATCAAAGCTGTTTACAAAATTATTCTTTATTTAAAAACTGGATAAACAATCTAAACAATAGACAGCACTATTCGTATGATAATTTTTCGTAACTACTTAAGCGTATACCGGGTAAGCATAATTGCTTTCGGATATTAGAACAGTCCGAAACTCCATTATACTATGATATCATTTATGAGTATTGCCGTACAATTTTTTTCATCTCCCCGCTAAATATATATCATTCACTCTTAAGTAGAAACTGATTGCTTAGTCTGTACAAATAATAATATGCAAGGACTTAAAAGGAAAACGCTTTCTGTTAGTTCTCTTAGAAACCTTCTAAAAATTTCTTTGTAATAGCTTACTTTCATAAGTTATCGAGTTTAAAATATGTAAATTAAATAACAGGTGTCGGAAATGAAAACTAGAATGTACGATAATCTATGCGTATCTCAGAAGATAAATAAATAATACAGTAATGACTCCCTGCAAGGCAAATAATATTCAAATAAACTACTGATACTCCCTCTAATTCTATTACAGACCTCTAACAACAGCCCTTTCAAGAGTAGCAGCTTACAGCAATTTATCGGTCTTAATTTTAATATATTCAAGCTACATTCACTAAATTTTGTCACAGGGATGAAGAAAACAGAAGATAGTACATCTCTAGTAAACTAATGTACACATTTAGTAAGGCAAAGAACATTTATGAAAAGTTCTCTAATATGTATTTAAAAGTTTTAATATCATCAAGAAACAATTTTCGCAACTTTGCATACTTTCATACGTCTATAATTTGAATTTTAAGCAGACAAAATAGATAAACAGTAAGCATTCAAATCTGTATACCAGTAATATTTTTGCTCCATGTGGAGAGGATCAGGAAAAATCTCTTTCATCACTTTCATCCCTTTTATATTTTTATCGACCTACTAAACAACATGTCGTAAAATATGTTTATAACTCAAAATCGAAGTACTATACTACTGTGATGGAGGGTTCAATATCTCAGAGGATTGAGATTTAGTCGCCATTTACAATTATTACACCAAAGAGTTTATAAAAGTTATGCCTTATTGTAGGTTAGTAATGTGAAGTACAGTGAGGTAGTTACGGTAGATCAGCGCGCAAGCTGTCGTGAGTAACGAGTAGAAGTATTAGACTGTGAGAGACTAACTAGAAGACTAACTGAGAGGCTAACGGACTCTGAGGTAGAAATCGCCGGTATTTATAGTTTTAAAGATAGAGCACATGCAGAGAATAGGATTGTGGAATTAGATACAACATATACCATAACAGGTTACAAAATAGTAGATGATTGTAGAAAACAGCGAGTACCGTAATAACTAAATACAGTAGCCTATATATGAATGTAGAGTAAGCGGACTGTAGATCTGTCTAAATATAAGAGCAATACAACATGTCTATATTTAAGAGTAGAATATAGTTACAGTATATTCTAAATACACTACAACTACCATATACTACTATTTCTTTCTTTTTAATATAGGAAGATTTTGTTAAGTAAACAGTACTTTTGTACAGCATACAGTACACGGTAAAAAGTTACTGAACCTCTGACAGGTCTATCAAATGGTAATACTATCTGTTAAATGAGCACATTATCGTAAACCGTCAGCAAAGCGAAGGGAGTTTGCACTAGTTTACTTCAAACGTTGTATCTTACGATTAGGAAGACATCATGAGTGTTTGCTACTCTAATTGTATAACTACACTGCTCCTCAGTTATAGTACCGAATTGTTAATCTCTTCTAATCACTTTTTAACGATAGTCATTGGTTAGGGTAACTAAAATTTTATGGTCCTACTTTAGCTTGATGACAAATCTTGGAGTCCTGACCAGCTACTAATCTTTATGTACACTAAATAATTTACAATGATAAACAGGATTCAAGAGAGATCATTTTTGTGATGTATTATATGAAAGATAGCTTTTCGATCTTTTTGATCACCTCTCGCATACACTAAATTTATTAGTGCCTGTAAATAATTGAATCGATCAATTAAGGTATTTGTCAATTGTATGTAGGGAAGAAAAAAAATTACAATGACTACGACTAGCTCAATACAATATTTTACAAATCGCTTACATAGCTAAATTACTTTTAGTATCGTGTGAAATAAAATCACGCGTAAAATATACGGTATTACATTATTCATGTAAGTGTTTTTTAAAGCCTATCAACGAGAGAAATGTTATGGTATGTAAAATAAAAGGTAGCTACATGAAGGCCTGCAATACTATATCTTCTCGAGTAAGATTCTGCGAGCATCTAAATGTTACTAACATGGAATAAATTTAATATATTATGTAGTTTCCCATTTTCTAAAATTACGGAACACAACATTTATGTAGAGAAAATTCATGCTCTTTTTATTTTTGGACTCTATGCACTCATAGTATATTTATTAATTTTACTAAGATGTACCCTATAAGAAATTGACGAACAATGTGACAGCACAATCAAATTAATGATACATATTGTATCATGATAATTACTAACGTTTTATCCTAAAAGAGAGCTATAAAGCACAGCTTTCAAATACAGGTAAACAGGCAGAAAAAAGGGTAGTTATCTGAGCAATCATTTCATTTAAGCATTATTTATTATATATCTAAATTTATAGTATGTTATATCACTAGAGAATAAATACAGCAACATTATGCCAAAATAAATACGAAATTCGATACTTTTACAACTGAAAGCTAAATCTATAACCCTGGGCTATTATAAAGAGTGCAATTTATTCTATATTTCTATTGCATGCCTGCACTATAATTTATTCTTATAGAAGAGTTAGTTGCATAAATACACATATTGTTAATCATTTTTCAGACTTATTAGTTTGTATTTGCGCCTAGATTAAACTCATTTCCAAAGTATTCTCATCAAAATCTCTTTCAGAAAGATCATCATTCGAATCTTTCTTTTTGGATTCAATTCCGGATGACTTCTCATCTATCGAATTTTCCGATGGATTCTCTTCATTCACCTCATCTTCTGATATCACTTGAAAAGCTATTTCGTCTTCATTTTTAGTATTACTAGACGATGTTACATTAAACGGATTTTCGGATATGGGTTTTCTATTACAAGCCTGGCAACAAATATCGGCTTTGTCGAATCTTGCGGTCAGATTTTTAAATTTTTCGTTTTGATCATCTAATTTTTGATTCAAATGTCGAGTCTGATTTTTCAATATCGTAATATTCTTATTTAAATGTATTTTATCCAATTTCAATTGTTCAATCTGACTATTTTTAGCTTGTAGAGTTGAGTTCAAGCGAGTATTTTCATTTTGGACATGTCGATGTTGGATATTGAGAGTTTCCATTTTGGCTTTTAACACTTGATACTTCCCATTTAATCTTAAAATTTTTTGTCGTAATGTACCTACAGTTGCCGTTAGAGATTGTAATGAAAATCTTAACCTTCGTACTCTAGCTCTTAGCTTACTAAGACGTCCAGTCAATCCAGTGATTTGTTGACTTTGACTATCAATCGTGAAATTTTTACTAGCGATAACGGCATGTAACTGATTAATTTGAATTCTTTGATTTAATATAGTTGCATTAAGTTGGCCAATAAGTTGAGTCTGACTAAAAACCTTAGTATGTAATTCCAGAATTGTTGCATTTTGACTGCCGATAGTTTGTCGCAGGCTGCTGATAGTAGCAGTCTGATTGGCAACTGTACCTCGTAATTGATTGATTACTGCATTCACACTTTTAATAGTACTTTGCAATTGGCTGATTTGACTATCTTTGACGATTATAGTTTGTCGTAATTGATCGATAGTGGTTTCCTTATTGCTGATAGTTTGCTGCAATTGAGTAATATTATGATCTTTATTAGAGATAATTCCTTTAAGTCGTGTGATTTCTTGATTCTTGGTGTTAATGGTTGTACGCAATTGAGAAATAGTTCGATCTTTCTTAGCTATTCTACCGTATAACTGCTGAATGAGGCCATCTTTACGGGCAATGGTTTGATGTAACCGTCCAATGGCACTGTTTTTGCTAGATAGTTGGGCTTTTAGGGAAGCAATTTTACGATTTTTTAAGACGATTATCATTTTCTGACCACGAATAAAGGCATCTTTGGAAATAAGTCTTATTTTTAGCCGTTTAATAATCGAATTTTTAACACGAATTACAGCAGACAATCGATTGATTTGGGCCTGTTTAGTAGCAATTATCCTCCTAAGTATGAGAATTTGCACTTGTAGTGCTTTTATCCTTCGCTTTAATATGATTATCTTACCATTACACCACACTCGTAGACCGGCATATTGTCGCCTTATGACGAGAAGTTGTCTTGTAAGTGAGGCCACTTGTCGAACAAGACGCACATTTTTGGCTCTTAATCGACGAATGATTAACCCTTGATTGTAAACTGTTCGACGCAATATACTATTTTGTCTTCTTAGTATGTAAACTTGCCTTTGCAAAGCATTGCGTGAACTTTGGCATCGTCTTAAACTTGTTATGTAACCGGTACAAGGATTGATTGTCGGAGTTCGGCGACGACGACGACGCGGCGTCTAATCCAACGACGACGACGACGACCCCAAGATGATTTCTATGGAGGTTATATGTAGGTACAATGATTATATCAGATTATGGAGAACTAGAACTACATTAAGATATTATCAGCAACACATAAGCGCATCTTTATTTTATATATAGATATACATTGTAATTAAAGTCACTTTGATTATATAAAATTGTACTGCATATATGTAAGTTCGTCTCTTATTCCCAATAAGCATTTGTAATAATAGCCTAAGCTTGCATAATTTAATAAATAAATAAACTGTTGGTATGATATAACTTCGTTCAGGATGGGCTAATCTCTTCTACTCAAATTCGAATAAACAGGCACGAAAAATAACAATCTAGATTAGCATTGAATGATATAAACATTGCTTAAGATCGACTAATCCTACTCCTCGTAGATTTAAAATAAATGTGTACTGCAGAAATACTACAGTATATAAATATGTTTTCCTTAATTATCCAGATAAAGAAATCAGACTTGCTATTCCAACACACAAATAATTGTCAGTACCGAAGTAGTACATACCTAGCTGTAAATTAGTTTATACTGATAAATCAACATTCAGTAAATTAATCCCCTCTATTTCAATTCCAAGGAAGCAATTAATATGTAGAACGAAACTACTTCCAAGTATCTTTCAATATAAATTAACTCTATTCTCAATTTTTAATAGCCAGTGGTAATACTTCTTCTGAAAGCTATACGAGTATTATTTGAACTGATAACTTTATCATTCTATGATATTAATAACTTTTAACAGGTGCAATTCTTTTTGTTGCATTTCCATTTAGAATACTATCATAATTGATTAAAACCACCCACAACTAACAGGTTAAAGTTTTCTACGACTGAAATATTTTTCTGCTCGTAACAGGTCAAGTTCCTTTTGTAATATGCTTACAGTACGCTAATATTCTGTGCTTAAATACTCGTAGGAAATTTTCTACTTAATTCTCAATCTGTTATCGTCGTTGTAGCAATAGTAATCATAGATTTATACACGTTGAACTAGAAGAATCGTCTACACTTAATAAACGATCTCTATGCTATCCCATAAATTTAATACCTGCCTATGCTTATTATAAACTAATTCTATATAAATTAGTATCAAATATTTTAAGCAATCATTTAATCGATATTTACGTGCTCGTCTTCATCCTTATTCGAATTATCTTCTTCTATTTCATTATCGAACTTGGTTAAACCATCTTCATCAATAATTTCTTTGTTATCCTGAAATTCTACTTCGCGAAGACTGGTATCTTCCGTTTCAGCTTTATCCGATTCGGTGCTCTGACTATCTGAATTATCGTCGATATTTTGATTATTGGTCTCCTTATATAGTACGTTATCAACTGCTGAACTGGCGATATTTCTGAGAAAGTCATTTTCGGTTTTATCTGATGATGGAATCTCTTCTGTATAAGCAGTGGAGATTACAAGTAGAAAAATCAAGGCCAAAAGGCGAATCTTCATCTTTCAGCATGTATCCTTATAGATGGACTGAAAGGCAATCGAAAGAGAAGAGAATAGAAAGTTATTTCTAGAAAATCAAACAGTTTATGCGTACCTTTTGAAATGATTTATATTAACATTGAATACTGGCTAAAATCAATATCCTAAATTTATGCTACCAACTACGGTAATCCAGTCTCTAAGGTTTAGATTTAAATAGCCTTCTACATTACTCTCGAATAACATTTATCTGTACTTTGAGTAAAATTGAAGTACTAGACTGCATTGCGCTATCGATTATTTTTTTAGAACAAGTTATGACCTACTGTAAGTGACATCTTGAGCAGTTAATGTAATGTCATAGCGTAATCAAATACACTTAATGACACTCTAGCTTAGCCTACTTTCACGACAAAATTGAATTTTATCGTATTCTATAGGATGAAAATCTTAAATATAAAAATGGTAAAAGTGAGAAAAACATAACTTTATACCTGCGTTTCAACAATTACGGTATCAATCTGCAGCAGAGTCTAACTCGAGAATAAGAGAATAGAGGAATGTAAATCATCACGCCAATAATTTACATTTATATCCTTCAAACTTTACCTAAAGCGAAAGTAAATCACAAATTTACATTCATTACTTCCCCAGAATTCAAGGAAGAATGATGAAAAGTTCTTAACTAAAAGAATTATTAAAAATATATTTAAAGTACATAATACAGATTATGCCACCAAAATAAAATTAAGCATTTATTTTACTTTCATATATGTGTATAATGCGAACACATCAACTATAATTTAGAATTTTTCCATGTGAATTTAAATAAAAGTGTCTCATAAAATACTGGGTGTCATTATTAGGTCGATCTATTTTAATTGTTCATTTCCCACTAATCTCTTAACGATATTCAGTCATTGTCAGTATAAATAATCGGTTCATAAACTTTCAGCATACTTTAGATTTATGTCCCTTTAATGTTAAATAGTCTCTAGACAGATATAACAATTCCTCCAATACAAAGATGATATAGAAGTATCTTCAATCGGAGCATACAGTTAGAGAATTTTACGGATTCTTAACATTAGTACGACATTCTAAATTATTTCCTACTCCAAAATTGGATACGCTACCTAAACAGCAGGCAACCCTTTTTGTGTTATAGCTTGTTCTGTAACTGGTTAAGTGAATATGCGTAATCGCTCTCTGATACATAATTTTGCTTGAGGCTATGGAAAATAATGACATGATCTGTGCCCATTAAATTTATTGTTATCCTTCAGGTAATTATACCATCTCACTCTTCGTAGAAACTCCTTGCCTTAGTTAATATAGACTGTAATGCAAGTAATACGGATGAACTGTAGAAGAACTTCAAAAAGAAAATAATTTTTGTTATTTCCTTTGCAGGTGTTCTAAAAGGCATTTCATAATAGCTTGCTTTCATAAGTTTATCTAGTTAAAGACAAGTAAATTAAACATCAGATATTGCTAATGAAACTGAAGAGTATCACTCTGTACGTATATAGCAGAAGAAAAATACATAGTACAGTAAATTTCTCTAAGGTATATGACATCCAAATAAATGATTTTTTTTATTTTATCGATCCTCTAAATAATAGCTCTTTTAATAGAAGCGCCCAACAATAATTTGTGCTGGTCTTATTTTTTAATCTACTTAAGCCTTTATACAGTACATCGAAGTACTGTATGTAGTATGAGCAAAATAAAATAGTTTATTTGCAAGTAAAATAGGAAGATATACTCAGTTTACTCAATAAAGAGTCTTTAAAAGCCATTCCTACTACTACTACTATTTTTGAACCCTGCTAAACAAAATTATCGACAAACGTAATGATGTTGCTTTATTTATTTTTATGTCTTTGTATTTACTGTAGGCAAATTAAATAGTAAAATATGCACACATGCAAGAATACCTAGGAAAATATCTCTGTAGTCTTCTTATTACGGTACTAAGACTCTCTAGGCTTTTAATTAATGTTTAATTCTAATTTACTGAACCTTTATAAATAGTTTACAAACTGCAGTATAAAAATTTTTTGTCTCAACTTTGAATGTGTAGCCAGGCATGGAGGATAGCGGAGCGAGAGTGTAGAAAGCGTTGCACTTCAAATAGGAAATATTCCTTTTCTCAGCGTTGTGATGTATGCTGTATCTTTCATGGTAGTAATATTTGTCTTGGTTGGCAAGACCATTCTAAACAGTCTTACCAGAAATAGTTTAATCTAAGCCTATCAAATCGCTGTAAGTCTATTGTGAACGGATTGATTAGACTTTACCAGTTAGTTAGAAAGGATATTCGTTCCTAATTATCCAGGTTTCGGCATCTCTATTACAAACCGATTGTAACACTCTTTGAAAACCGGTTTGTTTTATTTTATGGGGCCTTCTAAATATTTATGCCGTGCAATAAGTTTAAAACACAATGCTGGATTATCTTAATAGAATCTCGAAGAGGATAATATAGCGTTAGCTTGCACCTTATAAGGCTATTTCAATAAACATTCTCTTTTACTTCTATCATAAATTTAAAAAATTATTGTATGAAAAAATCATAACTTCATCTGGCTGAAAACTCAGAATTATGCAATAGATAATAAGAAAATAAGTCGACTTTTGCAAAAGTTGTAAATGGCAATACATTCACTTCAAATGTTCTACGAGCATGATAAGAATAGTATGGCATCGGTATCTTGATTCTTAATTCATTGGTCATTATACTGCGAATATAACATTAATCATGGTCCAACAATGCTCCATAATCAGTGAATAAGCATCTTAATGAAATCAAGTTACGGATAGCTTTTAGAACGTGAAACTACTATAGAATTAGAATACTACACGCTGTACGGATCAAGTAGAATAAATTTTACCCATATAAATATCTTTCATAATTAAAAAGCCTCTTACTCAATATATCCTGACAGATCTATAACAAGTTATAAAACAAAGATATATAAATTAGCAGCTAATTAGCAAGACACTTAATTGCAGAATATGCCAAGCAAATTAGTAGGAGTAGTGCCCCACGTTGAAATCATGTAACTATAGCAGAAAGGCATACATCAAGCAAAATTTAAAGCTTGACAGAGCTTCAGTTAAGAGTAATACTATTGATCTTAAAGTTGTCTTATCGGATGAAACATTAAATTATTCGGCGACATGATGTTCTGTCTATAGCTTATTTCGGAAGATATAAAAGGACAATAGCTTATATTGTTTAAAATCCTTATATCTAGCAATAAAATTCAACGCCTTCAATTACCGGTAGTTAATATTTTAAAATAACTTGCTCTTTAAGATCAAATTCAATTATAGTACTTATTCTACGACTTTTATAACAGCATTAATTCACATTTGGACTATTGTATCACTATAATAGTATTAGATATCAGTACTCCTAGTTATATGTAGTATATTTTGAGATAAGATAGTGTTTTGCTAATTCTAGCGAATTGATCAAATTGAAGTGAAGAGAAGTGAGCGAGATCTTATAGATACATTTAGTTTTTCTCGGGTATTAATAGCAGAGATTAATTATTTAATTAATCGTTATACAAAATTGCAGGAATTGCTAAAAAGCATTACCCTCACAATTTAAGGTAAAATTTCTCACGGCTACTTTATACTATCATATAGATAAATAAGTGAAACTATGTATTAATGTTTAGTTTTTACACGTATATAACTGCTTTAAGATGATAATTTGACTAAGATTATGGGTAAAGTTAAGGATAAATTCACTGAATCATTTACTTACGACATGTTATAGTGCAGCAGTTGATTTCATTACTTTTCAGAAGTAGCATTTTAGTGACATATACCTGCAATCATAATATGATGAAACAGTAACTGATGAACTATAACTATGTAGAGTTAATTTAAGTTCAGATTCTAGTAATAGTCTCACACCACGACTGTAACAGAATTTTTCGCTGGTTAAAGCTTAATATAGAAAAATTTATGGCTTAAATTAAAGTGTTAAGGGACACAGCACTATCATCTTATGTAAGATTTACATGAATGTTTGTAAGCATCAACTTCAATACCAATCAATACTTTTTACTTCATGCCTTATCACATCTGCCTGTAGTAATAGCAAGTAATACTATAAACATGCTATCTTTCGGTAGAAAATCTCTGCTAAATATTTTAACTATAATAATCCTTTTCAAAATCTATAAATTCAATATATAAAATACGCCAGGTATATTTCTGTTATGAAATACTTTTATTAATTAAGACAACCTTAAAGTTTAACATAAACAACACCAGTGAATTCTATCATGTTATTATTAGCGACAATTTTAATGCAGCAATAATTCTACTCTTTAATGATTAAACAGACCTATGACTTTCAGTTTACACATATATAATCTAAAATAAGTTGAGTTGATCATTGATGAGGTAAGTATAGAATAGTCTTTAAAAATGAATACTAAATTAGTAACAAACCTATTAAATACACTACGTTATGCAATCAATATATAACGATATTAAAGACTGAAGGCTTTACTATGAGGACTTATCTAAATGTAAAGACAAATTCTATTAAAATTTAACTACCTCAAGAAGATATTTTATTTATCTGAAGCCATTGAACTAAAAATCATTAACAGTCAACTCTGCTTTAGTGCTTCCACCATTTGTAACAGTGCTATTTTTGCCAGCAGGATATTTTTGACTACATGCATCGCAACAGAGACGACATTTTTCAAGATCATACTGAGCTTTGTAAAACTTACGCTTGTACTTCTTGACTTGAACGCGCAAAGCCTTCTTGTCGAGTACGTGTTGTACAATTTGTGTTTGTAATTGAGCATTTTGCCCCTTTAAAGACTGAATCTGATTGGATTGCGTTTTGACCAGAGCTCGTAATTGCTTGTTTTCGGTTAAAATTTGCCTATACTTGGCCGACAGAATCAAGTATTTCGCTTTTAGCTTTCGTGTTAAAGCGAGCAATTTGTTAAATCTTTGAACAAGGGCATTATGTTTTTGTGTCACGTGGTTCAAGGAATTTCTCAAGTTTTGGATGCGAGCTCGTAAATTGTTGATTACGCTCACCAATTGCCTTATACGCGTTTTTAAACCTTGGATGACAACGTTTTTTCTTTGAATTCTACTCTTTAACCGATTGATTCTATTGATTAATCGATTAACTTTAGCTTGTAGCCAATTTCTTCGTTGAATACAACGATTTAGACTAACTCTAATTGACAAGCATGGATCAGAACGTCGTCTACGGATATAATAGCGTCTTCGTCGACGCCATCCCCAAGATTTAGCTTGCTATAAAGGAAAAAAACATTAAAGTAAGCAAACAGGATATAGTTATGGCTAGCAATCATCCATATTAGTGAAGATTGTTCTCGTTGCTAGATTATTAATCATAGCACTGTACAGATATAGAGAAGGTAAAGCTAGCAAGAACAATTCAGATCGGTACTAGTGGCGTGGAACCAATACTAGAGTTAGATTTGCATGTAAACTTGAAGCACTCCTCATTTTGTGCAATATTCGCTGTTATATTAGCAAACGGTACTGACCTTATCATCCGCCACCTCTGTCTCACTCAATTCACTATCACTTGCCAATTGTTTCTCATCAAAGAATTCCTCCTTGTTAGCAGATTCTGGTATTTCGACCTCCTTGTTTTCTTCGGATTCATCCTCTGTGGATAATTTCTCTTGTAATTCTTCAGTACTTTTATCGCTAAGTTCTTGGCCTTCATCGTCTTTAGCCACATCTTCACCGCTATTTACCGGTACGTCATAGGAGTGATCAGGATTTGCACTCCAGTTCTCAGCATTTTTATCCTCATTATTTAAAGGATTAGTGGCATCTCCAGATGCTTTAAAGATGCACAAGCAAAGCAATCCAAGAACAATGAACTTCATCTTTATAATTCCAACCAAGCCTACACAATCATAACGCAAAAAGATAATAAATAATTATCAACTAGTTTAAAAAAGGTGAGTAGTTACGTTAGGCGCATTATGGAGATAAATTTCTTACTAACCTAGCCAGTTGAGACGGATTAATTTTGGCTCGAAAATCTGATTAGTTCCCAAATCAAAATCTGCTAAGGATAGCAAATTGCGTGGTATTTATAGTCTTTGCAAGATTATTAAGTTCATTGTTATAATTATCTTGATACCGAGAATTATGTAGTTTCGCTTTATCATATCAAAAGTATTTATTTTTCACCAAGATGTAAGTTCATACTACAGTACCATTAATCACTAAAAATTCTGACTGTCTATTTAGTACCGTAATTTATCATTGAAAACTATTGTAGTATAATCGTAACATAATTAACACTATCAGCCAATTTTTAATGCCGGGACAACATGCAAGAATTACCATAATAATTTTCAGTATTATACAGGAATATCTAAGCGTTAGCGAAAGTAGATATTAGTATCACCCATAGAACTCTTAAAATTGTTTATAATAACCGCGTTAATGGTTACAATATTAAAAAGGTTGAGCTATATACAAAAGCTACACTAATTTAGTTCCCTATGTAATAGCTAACTACTTTCGTAAACTGGTCTTTTTTATCGCCTTATGGCTCCTTTTCGAAATTCTAAGACAAAAAATAATGTCTATTTGGACAACTAGGAGACGCTTGACAACATCACTCTAATTTTATGTTTATTTTCGACAGCTCGCTTGCACTTAAAGATCTATCGAAAGTTGATGAAATATCGCTATGGTTTCATGACACATTATGTACTGTGGGTCTACAATGTGACTCTATTGAAATCTGATACGAGGGATATAAGGTATACTTAAAGTACGACCCGCTTAGTAAACAATCTTCTTTTACGGAACTGAAAGGTTCATCCGGTGAATACACTAAAGCTATAAATATATTATCATTTGCCACTAAATAATTGTTAATATAATTATTCATTAACAAATAAAGAGCACAAACGATGCGACTGTAGGGTACTCTAATATTAAATTATTGTTTAAGATAAGAAATAGTAACATTCTGTGTTAACCATGCAGATGGTACAAAATTTCTTAGTTATCACGAATTTAATTTATATTAACTACGGCACAACATTCTTTATGATTAAACTACCGTTAACAGAAAGTTAACGACAATCATCGCTAAATTTTGAGGAAAATTTCCATATCAACAATAACAATGCATCCATTCAAGGATAGCGGATCAATCTGTAATAATACTATCTAATTAAAACAATAGCTTTAATCACGTTACATTTAGATAATAGGCGTAACCTATGGCAAGTAATCATGCGGAAAGTGATTTATAAATCTCTGCAAGAGAATCGTATTTCACATCCGCTATGTATAGGAATTTTTTTCTTATCTTTATTAAATGAATGTCGACAGTTTACTACTTAATGAATCATCGTTCATCATTCTCACCTAGCTTCATTGTAAAACAATTTCATATCCTTAAAATAAAGAATGAAAATAATCTATTGCTTTATATATTTCTCCTTTAGGTTCTGAAGTAATAATGCCTTTTTCTTCGAAAGTATCTTCAATCCATGGCTTTGAATTGCATAAATCATTTAGATAATACTAGTCGCAACTCTTGGTGGGTGCCTTTGATATCTCGGTAAGCTGGTAATATCGAACATAAGACACTGCCAGGGAGTAGAACTGTTGTCTACACGAACAAGATTAGCCCTGGAAGTACACGTTTTTATACACAGCTGATGACTTTATCCACCGTAGGTTGCTTTTTGGCATCTCGTAAACGTAATAGTAGTCTAGGATGTAATTATTTCTTTCTTAAATGAAGAGTTCTTTAATTATGTATAAGCAGCTTCAAGTCAACGATTACTATCATATAGGTCAAGTAAATTAATTAACATTATTGGTAGTATAAAGTTGAACTATTCATTTATTAAAACTATCAATTGAATGGAAAGATATAATTTATTCATCTAGCCATCAAAAGAAGTCATTTTTTGCATCGTTATCAATTACCGCTAACAAGTCATTTTCAGATATCATCTTGAGGGTCTACTCCTAATAATAACTTATGATAAAGAGAAACAGATCAAGAAGTACCATAGTCAAAGACAATACTCCTAGGAATGTAATTAATTAAAATTTTAAATTATTTTCGATTAACAATGGCCCTAACGGTCATATAAACTAGTTAATAATAATAATATTTATTGATTTTAACGAATTTTAAGAGATTATAACTCCTTGCAGTATATCTCCGAGAACTCAAACGTCATTAAACTTGTTGAAAAGATCATAAAATAGCCACTATCGTCCTATATTGATCGTAGTAATACCTCTTGTTTATCACATGATTAGGTCTGCAAAATGCTATTTTGTTTAGACCACGACCAAGCCCCAATTTTTTTCATGGCTGAATTATATATACACTCTACGAAAGTGTGACAGGTCATTTCGTAATTGTAAAATTGCCGATTTATTGAATACTAGGACTAATTAAATAATCTGCTACTGAACTCTGTAATGTCTTACCCGACGCTGATTAGTGGCTATTCAGGCATTGACCTTGAGGTCTAATTAATTTAGCGCTATTACAAATTACTGCTGTGCTCATTTCATCAATATAAAATCATAGATACGTTTTGAAATTTGTAAAGGTGGAATAAATATGTATAGCTAACATCTTGAATAGAGCAAAATTTATAAAACGCTACTTTCACAAGTTAGGCCTCAAGTCTGACAGTTCGATTGACTTTGTTATCAGCTTTAATTAAGCCTTACTAACCGTAATTTTAAAAATTTCGTTTGTGAGCATACTGGATAATAGTGTCTTATAACGGAGATCTATTCGACTATAACTTCTTGATTTCTCAGTCTCCAGAAATTGCTGCAGTGTTAAATTGGTAATTGATTACCATTTTATTTATTACATATTGATCACAATCTCTTCAATTGATCAGAGGAGGATTGACTAGGTACTGGTATTCAGCTCTACTGCTTGACTATGATGAACAATTATTTTTCATGCTAGTTTGATACTTCAGTGTTTGATTTCCATTTTCTGCAACGTATTGATATTGTTAACATGCTATCTTGGAGTTGTCTTTAGCATTTTATTACCCGAATCTAGTATTGTAATTGATCAATATAAATGAAAACTGATGATATGCGATACCTTCATATAAGTAATAATATTGATATTGCCACTAGCTATAACCTAGGAGTATAATTAACATTCAAAATGGAACAAACTTATCCTATAACCTCAGATAAATTTTTAAGCTATAGTCGATATCTGAAATTATCTCCGATAACTAAATCATTTTTGTTTGCGACATTTGCGTAAAGCCAATGATTGGTTCTTTCTATCTCCGTTTAGAATGACTCCTTAAAATTTCAAATGATTTCGCAGCACCGTAGCATACAGTATGTTAAGGCACGAGTATCTACTACAGTATCTCGAGCATATGAAATATGTATTATATGTAGTTATGATTAGATTAATAACATAAGATCAGTAGTACTGTATCTATACTAATAAATTCATAACTAAATAGTTTATGGAGATGATAAATTACAAAAATATTTAAATCTACCTCTTAAAGATAGGAGAACCAGCATTGAAGCTATAGATTTGAAACACCCATAGGGAAATAATTTTACTCCTGATTACATACTTTAATTAATAAAAGCTAGAAAGTTAAAAGACTCACTAATGAAAGTAAATGGAGAAAATTATAGCTAAACATGTAAACAAATAAAAAAATAATTTTAAATTCATTCATAAGAAATAGTTATGATTTAATGGAGTTAGAGAAAATTTTATAGTCGTATTTATAAAGTAAAAGCTTCATAGCTGATAATTTTCTATTGATAGCGATTGACTCATACACCAATTTCCCGATAAAAATTGGTTTAGCGTTTAAAATTGTCTGTATTGCTTTTAATGTCCATAACTATTATACTTATTACCGTCCTAGCAGATCATCCGGTATTCACGACGAATAATATTTGTCAGATTCCCTGGTAACTGCGTTGAATGTAATTGCCAGATCAATTTTTGTTTTTGATTTTGCATATTTTATTGGATATAAACTGCGCTAAATAAAGTGATATAGGACATGTTTCCAAAAAGTTTTGTTCTAGATATTACTATTTTGAAGGCTGTACAATAATAGAATACAATGAAAGATTGAACATTTAATGTTGCGTTGTTACTCAATTACTCTGCTATTTTCCATCATGAAATTCTTTAATCGACTATCTTGATAAATTGATTACGAATAGAATCGACTCTGATGTTGCATTGACGCCTTACCCTTGCTAATATGACTACATTTCCTGATATTATAGTATCGCTCTACGCGAACACTTTTTCTAAGTAGAACTATCAGTTGTACTATCATTATAATAGACGTTTACACTTAATGATAACGTTAGGTGTAAGAATATTTTCTTTAATATCAAGATGGTGAAATCTTTCCTTCTATAATTAATTTATTCTTGAACATTATAGTCTGGTTATTGGCGTAAAAGTAAGCATGGTAACGATTGCTGACTCAATCAACTTCAACCTCCCACGATAAATAATAAGGCAAGGATATAAGGTAGGATTAGAGTAAAGTTTAAGTAAACATCATACGACTCGTACAATCATAAGCCAAATAGATAATGTTGTTGTAGTAAAGTCCATTCTTAAAAAGGAAACCACATATCAGTAGACTCTCTATCGTAATAATACTGCGAAACACCTTAAGCTAATAATGTTTTCTCCAAATAGAAAATAAATTTATTGGAATTACTCGTCTTCGCGCATTGTAAAATTATTTTAAGCTCACTTGGCATAGAATCAGCATTACAGATGTAATTACATACAGAGTATAAAATTATCCTTATAACAATTAATGAAACTTCAGTACATCGTTCCAGTATGTTATTCGTAATTAGGATAGAATTCTAGGTTAATGGTTACAATATTAAAATTAAAATAGTTAACTTACATATGTTCAATCTTGTTGTCCAATATTTACTCTATGCCACATTTTTATACGGTTGATGTAAAACTTTATAGTATTTCTATCATCGCATCAGATATGTATTTCAAACCAAATTGTTAAGTTAACCAAATGATATATTACTGTATGCATTGATCTAAATAAAGGTAGATACACATAAGTAACAATTTTCTTCGGTAACAATACAATAATAATAAACATCTAACAATATAGTCAACTAACTTCTTATATATGAGAGGTTAATTAATTATCATATGGTATCTCACTACCTAACTCAAAATTAGTTTCGAAACTAGCAACTGGTATTTATCGAACCCAAGATAGTTGCAGTAACTAAGCCTGAAGTAAAAGAAACATTGGTTGAGCATGAATTGTTATTCTATGGTTATATATTGAGACATATATCGTAGACGTATCGTGGTTGGAAGCTTACAATCTCATTCCAAAAATTGTAATCGAGTAACCGTTTTCATTGACCCAATAAATTAAAATTAATTATCAGAAGAAAATATTAATCATAATATCATTTATAGAATTATGTTCAAGAGGACTACGTAACATTAGATCATAATTAAATTTTAAGAATTTGTGAGGTATCGATTCTCATTATAAAACTACGAGCATATCAAATAATCGTGAAAGCTACATATACCGTATATTAAGTTTTACTAATGCAATGTATGGACTATAACAACACCTAAACAAACAGTACATGTATTAAGTTGACTATGATAAACTAAACTCTACTAGATATATATATTTTTTTTTATGAGCCATGTTTTCATTGCGAAATGCAAAGGTTAAGGTTGGAACATAAATATCGCATTAAGAAAAGTGACCCAGTTTATCAATTGTTATCGGCTTGTAACGGCTAATTGATAGATTCAGTAAAGTACTTATATTACATCACGACTAAAGGACTTAAATAGTTAATTTAGCTTTTGTTTAGGATAATGTCCGATACTCATTACCACTGCTGCAAATGTTAGCGCTACCATAAACGTTAATAAAGCGTTTATTTTGCAATGATAAACATCTATGGATTAAAATAAATAGCTCATATTTTACTAAACTTACTTCATTGCTGCATTACTACAGACTAGAATTGAATTATTATTGTACTGTATATGGATGCTATGAATCAACCATGTTTCGATATTTTGTCGAACAAATGGATTAAAAACGGTAAATCGTGTATGAATATTATTAAGCTGCTGATCAAACGTTTACTTTATTTTTTAAGAAGTAAAATCCATAAGAATGACAACTTTATGTAAATCATTTTCTAACCGTTTGAAAAGTTGATATAGATTCATATTTCTTTTAAATATTGAATGTCAAAAAATGATCTAACATATCAGTTTATCAATATCCTTATTAAAAATAAATTCTAGACCGTACTGTTCTATGGACTACCTGCGCTACTACAACAACTACTAGCACTATATATTGCTAACTTCCTATTACATATTACTCATAAGAAACATATTGGACTTTTTCTTCATCGCTGCCATAGTCATCTGCTACCGGTACGTCAGCTGAATTTCCTTCGCTTCGAATTTCCCTGTTTGTGATGGGAACTGCCTTACATTTGCAATTCACGCAGCGCTGGCTGTTGCAGTGAGCAAGATCAGTTTGAAGTTGCAGTACTGATGCCTGCAGCTGGCTTTTGGTTACATTACATGATCGTAAACTATTTTCAGCTGTATTTAATTGATTTTGAAGACGTTGATTATTCGCCTGAGCCGATATTAACTGACTTCTTAATCGGTCATTCTCAGTATGTAGTGTTGCATTATTCCGTTTTAGTTCATCATTTTCCATACGTAAGAGGTTTTTTTGTTTTATCAGTAAACGCTTTTGATCTGCCAACCGAGCATTGTCCCGCTTTATATGTGCATACGATGCATTTAAGTTGTTATATTTCCCTTTTAATGCCGCTAATTCGTTTTTCAGATTTGTGATTTCTGCACTCTGTCGGCCGATTGTACTACCCTGACTACGAACTTGTGTTTCCAATCGAGTCTTATCCGTTTTCAATCGTCTATTCTTAGCTGTTAATGCTGCATTGTTGCTCTTACAGGCCGTAAGTTTCAGACTAATAGCTTGGCAGGGTACTGGGCGTACAACAGGACGACGACGACGACGACTGACCCAACGTCTTCTTCTTCGCCTTCTTCTGCGACGTCTTCCACTCTTAGCCAAGTGATCATCATTAGACTAATAAAAAAATCAACTAAATTTAAGGAAATATTCACCTTTCTGATTGAACTATTTAGGAAAGTATAACCTAATATAGGCAAATGCAGATTAACGTCGTCAAATAGGATGTATGCAAATATTGACAAATTGAGTAGCTACTTTAATAGCAGACTCTAATTATAGGTAGATTAAACAAGTTTAAAATCATTTATAATATGTAATCATCAACTAGCATATAATCACACCTCGATTTCATCGATATCACTTTCTTTATCAGCGGTTAAATCTGTAAGTTCATTTTGATCTTCATTTTCTTTGACTTCTGATTCTGTGTTACTTGTTGGAGTAAAAGCCGTTAACTCGTCGAAATCATTTTGGCCTTTAGATTCTTCTTGGCCATCTACTTCTTCTTTCTTAGTAGTTTCATCTACTACGATATTTGTTGAGTCAGGGGATTCTTCTGATGAATCCTTTATCACATCTAAACCATTTTGGCGACCAGCCTCTTCTGACTTTGTTGTTTCGCCGGTTACATCATCTACATCATGAGATTCTGCTAGTGAATCATCTCGGTTAACTGGTTCATCCTTTATGATTTATATTAATTTAGTATTTTAGAACTGTTTGCTTTTAATACCAGAATATTAACTTCTACATGTGACTTAATTTAGCCAAGTAAGCTATTCTATTAATGTACCTGATTGACCTTTTCCTTGTCATATTCATCAATCTCAGGCTCATCCCATAATCCCGCGAATGCTCCATCGTTCAACTGATCAACTTCTGCTGCGGTGGCAATAGCCAGTAAGCAAAAGAGGCCAAGAAGAATACCAAGATAAAATTTCATACTTTTATACCCTTGTATATACGTGTGCGTCTCTATAGACTATATAAGAATATTGCATATTTACAAACCGAATATCGCATTTAAAATAAAAAGAGAATATATAATGCAATAGCACAGATGTCGATACTAGTTCCAACAAGTAATATACGCATATTTCCATACGCTTACGTTGTAATTAGTTTCCGATAATTGCTTATTTCTAAATCGCTTCTACTGATTTGGGTATGGAGTAATTGCTATTTATATATTCGCCACTAAATTTTAATTAGGTAGCGGTACTGTAATACCTTTCCTTGAATCCATTATTATAATCTCAGGGATTCCTGTAATCAACTCCATTGGTCTAATAATTAATTGTAGGAGACAGATTATATCTAACCATCAGGTGGCAATGATCGTATGTTGTCAAGTACTGTAACTTGTTCGAAATAAACGGAAACCAATTACACAAAAGATTTTATGCTTTAATCGCACACACACGATTACTAGTAAGTTAAGTAATACGAAGCTGAATTATTTGGCTCAAGGATTATCTGCAAGATCCTAAAGTTTCAAAGGCTTACAATATCAAACCCGATCATTGAACAAGTATTCCGGTCAGTATGTTAAAGATTAGAATTAAATTTATGTGTCAGATTAAAAGCTAATGCACTAACATACCAGAATTACCTTTTCATGGACCCTTTAATAATATATTGTCTGTACATTTAATTATCATTTTGGTAATTGATTGTTAATCCTACTATGGTAGATCTTAAAAATACGCAATGTAGTGTATGATTTCCCTTTCGGAATACGAAAGAAACGTACTGTCGCCAAGAGCTAAAAAGTTAGTGCAATAAACGCGTTTTGTTTTACGTATTTACAGGATTATATTGATAAAGTCACTGTGAATAAATTGTGAAGAAATAAAAGCATAATTATATTTGAGAACAATTCACTTGAAATAGTAGACAAGCAATATAGTATTGAAAAATATAGTATACAAAGCTTCTTGTATGAATTAGTTTTCACTTTAACGTCGTTGATTAATATCTAACTCAGACAATCTAGACTTTAATTAATGCACGGAGATCGAAAAAACGTTTTTATTTGAACGTTTTGTTCGGATTAATTCTTATTTTAGTAACCCAGCTATAAAGGCATCGAATAAAATGTTATATCCAAATTCTTACGAAGTTAATTCTTATAAAGGAAAAGTTCTCAATTGATAAAATCATTCGCACAATGCACTTATACCACTTATCAATTTACTGCTGACCTATTGATAGATTTTATAAAAACTAAACTGTAAAACTGTATAAGTAATTATTGTCGACAAAAGACTACGTGACAATTTCTTCGTTAATGGAACGGACTGTGAAATGCTCAATGACATACATGCATAGTATATGAGTTATATACGCATGTTAGCACGATAAAAATAGATCTACTGATCAAGTTTTCATGAAACAAGCTAAAAAATGTTGTTGCTGTCAAAAACTCGCAGAATCGAAAGATGAATTGACATAGATCGTAATTTAGCAAACAGTTTTCAAATTCATGCCAGGATATACGCAAGTGAGATTGCACTTATATATCTATTAACTATTTACCGCAATCATCTCATTCAATTAGTCACTATGTGTACGAAAGTAATCAAGGTAATTGTTCTGATCGATCTATTTTAATAAAATATTATTGTTTAAAGATTTTAACTTAAACCATTAACTATAATAATAAACAAAGATATAATAGGATAGACAGGGAAGACAACCTTTAAATTCAAGTAGAATATGATAGATGCTAATGAGTAAAATAACATTCGATTTCCTTTTAGAGTTATTAAAATATAGCTATGGCGCTGCGCTCTTTATATCTGACTTAACAAACAAACCTCATGTATGATATAATATAATATAGATAATTATTGCTTCGAAATAAAAGTAACGTACCAGAATCCTACATGACTGACAGAAATTCCCTGAAAAATTTAAGAACAAGCGAAAGTAGATACAAACTAATTAAAATTTCACTTAGCTTAATACTTAATATTAATTCTTAATATTTATTAAATATATTATAAATGCTATCACTTTAAATGTATGAGAATTCTCAGAACTTACGTTATTGTTTCGGTAGGTGCTGAGGACGTATTATGTCTAGCCAACAGGTGGTATGAACGCATATTATAGACTTATCCCAAAATCAATGAAAATAAATTACATGAAAAGATTTATACCTTAATCGTATATATTGTTGTTTAGATTATTAAATTAATAGCAAGCTCCAACGAATCTCTTTATCAGTATTTTACACTATTCACAAACCCTCAAGTTCTCACTGTAGTTTATATTAAATCCAGACCAATACAGTGTTAATAGATCAAACTTAAAGATGATGTAACAGATTGAAACTTTTATGCACTGCCAGAATTTTTTTAAATTTCAATAATTATGATAAATAATAACAGTAGCAACTGAAAGTCGATGCTATTGTAAGAGGTGTTAAAAAAAATTATATTAAATGTTGTGCTTTTTAGCTGAAAGCTAAAGTAATAAGGTATACTATACTGTTTTTGTATTTGCAGAGATCTACTTTATAATTCACAGTGAATAAATTATGGAAAAAAGCGTAATTATTTTATGTATCTGACAACAATTTTATTTAAATGGTAGGTAAGTAAGTACAATAAAAGCCGATGTATAGTATTAAGCAAAGTTTCTTATGCAAATTAGCTTATCCTGCAAAGTTATTAAAGTCTAATATAGGCGGCTTAGATTTCATGGTAAGTTAATTTAAGCAGACGTTTTTAGTTCTTGTTATAGTAATCTAGCTCTGCTATTAAGACATCTAATCAAATATTACATCCAAATTCTGAAGAAAGGTGCAGCACTCACTTTAATAAACGAAAAATATTTGATTAATGGAGATTTTAATTAAATTTTACTGTAATATCTATCTAGCATCTACACTTCTAACCTGCTATTAGATTGTATGCAAAAAATATAATTAAACTATGAAACAAAAGAATTTGTTATTGTTTACTAAAGCTATATAAGATAATTTCTTCGTTTGACAAATTCTACTATAAAGTAAATTGAATTACTGCATAATATTAAGCAGATCACTATGAAGTGCCTGTCCATGTGTAAAATATAGTATATTAATCATGTTCACCAATTAGTATAGGGGAGAAGAGCCTTTGGCCACAGTTTCGTGAAATAAATTTAAAGTACTACAGAACGGATAGATGATTATGTAGAACGCAATTTGGCTTACAATTTTCAAATTATTGCTATGAAGTAAGCGGTTATGTATCAAAGAGCGTGTAGAAAACTAGACCCTTTTATAACAATAACTTACTTATTCCAGACATTATAGTGCATTAGAATACAAGAGTTACCTACGCTATCATGTAAATCAACTAGAACGATTTCTATAATATTCATTCACTCGGGTGATTTTATTGGATTGATCATACGCATACAAAAAACTTCGTTCCTACTAGCCAATTTTAACAAAAGATTATTAGCTGGCGAATATGTATGTTATTATTATATATACTTTGACGATAACCTGTGTTAAATTGAAAAGCAATGGTAAAGTATGGAAGAGGAGAAAAACAACCTTCAAATTTTAAATAAGTACAAATGAGCAAAATAATACATGACTTTCCTCTGCAAACTTCATAAAAGATGCAATAATTTAGACAATCATATCGAAACAATAGTAAGGAACCAACGAGAATAACAACAACTTCCTTCAAATTTTTTTATAGCATACGGAAGAAGATGCTATGTAAACTTATTAAAATTTCGCTTAGTCTTGCTTAGATTATCCATCTATTGGGGGGAAAATAGAATCAACCCAATGACTTCATTTCATATACTAGTAGCTATCACTAGTCCATTATATTATTTTAGCTAATTATGGAAGTCAGTGACTGTCGTGTAACTATCTACTACTTTTATATTAGAAAGGTTGTCCAGGCAACACACATATCATATGGGTTTGTCGCCGATCTAGCTGAAAGAGTGTAGCAAAGTGAAAGGCGGTGTGATGCTGGATTAATAAACCTACTTCATTTGTTAGTATTTACTGCCAGCATACGTAGAACAGCATAAATAGTTATTAACCTGGTAGTCTAATCGAAAAGATATTAGATCTTGTAATCTTAACTGTCCAACACCACTCAATTTTCTTTGCACTCGAAATATTGTTAATCATTGATTAGCCTTTGTTGTTAATTACCGTACCGTAGTGATATTGTAATATTTTTAGAATCAGGTCTAAATTATTACGTTCAAACGTTTAAATTAGTGTTATAGCTTGTAATATTTTAAAAAGTAATGGACGGATAGGTAGGTTAAAAGATATAAAATTCAGTTTTGTTGAATTTAAATTTAAAATGCTGTTCAAACAAATAAGATATATTTTACAAACGATGGAAAAAGAAATTTTCAGATGTGACTGATTACTATTCCATGACAGTATTACCATAATTACTATGACCCACTCACTTATTTTATAATACGGCATTTTCGACCGATAATTCTCCTCTTGCTATGTTTAGCATTCTATTTACCGCACTATTTTTACAGTAGCATTTTTGCACTAACCATCATTTGATATTTAGGAATTGGATAGCTTACTCTAATAGCTAGAGCTATCGCTATTAATAGATGATCAAGTATACTTACCTATAGTAGGTCGAAAGTACATTCTTTCGAAGAAATTTCACTTTTATGTGGGTAATTGATGAGATCTGAATGATTTCTAGTATCGTAAGATCAGCTATACGCGTATTTACAATAAGCTGGAGCTGGCTGTGCAGTTGCACTAATTGACGGGTGTTATACACTGGACTGTAAAATAGATTGGGATCGGTCTACAGTCTGGATATTGAATAGTATACGATAGTTCTTGTTTGCAGATTTTATGTAGACACAGCTAGCTTAGTAAGCATTATGATTAGTTGGTTGTTTAGCTTATTCATTAACCGAAAAAAGGCGAATGAAGATCTGTGCATTAGTATACCTTAGAGATATTATTTTGATGTAAATTTGACTATGGAAAACGTTAGTTTCAGATCTTATGTGCTTTCATAATACAATCTCTTTTAAATAGTGCAGCGACGTACTTTTTAAACACACACTGAGATGATCTACTGTATTCTGTTGCTTAATAATATACCAACTTTCTGATCTTTTATTACGGAGAATACTTGATTAATTATAAGATCCTGTGAAGTGGTTTTTCTTTCGCTTTATAGTTATTAACAGTAAATACTGTTCATTGCAACAAACAACATAGCGGAATCTACAGTATATACATTAACAGAATTAGGACTGCAGCGATGGTACGTGAAAATTTCCACAGTCAAAGACTACGGGCATTTAACCCTGACAGTTTAAATGAACAACACAGAAACATACAGTAGACCGTATTCAAATTCAATTAAACGAAATAGCCTGCTAGAGCTACTGTTCTACATGGAATTCAAGGTCCCAACATTGTGGACGAAGGGCAGACCGTTTATTTGAATAAAAAGCACCGTTAAACCGTCTACGAACGGTCATATAGTAATTCTATGAACGCGGACAGTATGCACCACTAATTACGATCGAAGGTCTTGACCAAGGACTACCTTAACCTTAATGAATTGACTATAGTCATGGATTACTGTAGACGAAGAAGACCTACTGTACGTAGACTGATGACTCTCTTCGTTATGGCAATACTGAAGGAGGAGAATTGCTTCAACTGTCCATGATTTTGATAATCAGACAGACAGCATTGACATTACTGCCCGTACTCTGTGTACGGTATTATTAAAAACATTGACATTTGAGAAAATTTAAGTACTTTAGCAAGTAGACGGTCGAGTTTGAATTGACTAATATTTTCTAAATAAAGTAATATCACGTTGAAACTTTTTATCATTTCTGCTTAATTTAATTAATTAATTCATTTCAATTAGTTAGCAGTAAGTTAGTAAACAGACCTACAAAACGCAGAGTGTACAGTACTTGCTGTACAGTGTACAGTGTTGACGACATTTTATGGACGGTACTGTACTGTACTATACTGTCCATTTATTGTGTACGTGTATCCAAATTGTCACCCTTGTCGTAGAGAGGGAATAAGGGTTTGTCTTGTCTTTCTAGCGCGTGGGTGACAGCCTTTATGCAAGGGGGAATTTTGATTGATTACACAGTGTATTATATTACTCTGTAGAATTAATACTAACAACTGTATTGAAGGTTCTTACTACTCTCAATTAGTATGGGAGACAAGAGATTGTACACATAGTTGAAGTTATTTTAAAACTATCACTAAGTCCTATTCTCTCTTTATTGTCTATGTTCTCTATACAGTACTGTGTACATAGACGTACTGTATGCCGTTCACACTTACAACGCGTTATAATGACAAGTTTGTATCGTGTAACAGTAAATTCGCTACAGTATTACAGCGCATTTTACCGTCCAACAAATGCAGTACAGTACAGTACTGTACTGTACTGTACTGCTACAGTACTTTTCAACTTGTACTGTACTGTACCGTACTGGTGGTCGGTTACGACACTGAGACAAACTAGCCAATCAAATGCCAGCCAAGGATGCGTCGCCGAATTTAAAAAAAACGTCAACTTTTCAATTGTACACCTCCAATGATACCAGAGTGAGTGCAGTCATCCATTCATCTCCAACTCGACCAATCTATATACTGAAATGACTCCTGCAGTCCATACAAACTTTACTGACTGGCTGGAAGTTAGAAATCACACCCAAAGTAGGATAGATTCATGTCTGCCTTCATATTCTGCATACTATCTGGTTGACACTTGACTATTTATATG